TGCATGGTGATAGGTATGGGTCTAGTTTTAATCTTTGGCAGGTTGAAATCCAGTTTTTCCAACACCATTTATTAAATAGGCTGTCTTTCCTCCAGTGAAGGTGGTTGGCTCCTTTGGGTTCTTGACACTTTAAACATCACCAGCTTTTGTAGCTGTCACCACTTGTCACAGACTCCGAATCTCTGCACCCTACTCAGTCAGCTCCTCAGGCCTTGGAGCTCACAGAAGCTTGGTCTGTTTCCTGTTGCCCCAGGTGCTTGCGTTTCCTGTTCCGGTTTTCCTTGCGGGGCTTGGGGTGGCCTTGGACTTGCCTGCCCCGTGCTCCCCTGTTCTGCCTCTTCCCTTCCAGACTGTAATAAGGTATTGGTAATTGACCACGGCTCGCTGCCTCCCGAGCCCTGGGCTCTGCTTCCAGCTGGGCCTGTTGGCATTTGTCCCCACCCTTTGTTTCTGGCCCTTTGGCTGCCTTTTCATCCATATGACTGGATTTTTATTTTGGTCTGTTTGAAACATATTTTGAGATTTCATGAGCTGCTGCACCAAAGTCCAAGTATATTAACATCTGTCGTCTTCCTGCACTCTGCTAATTTTGTAATTGTGTTGCAAAAAAGCTAACAAGTGTGTCTGGCCCAAATTTATCCTCCCCAGCTCTTGATGACATGCTGACATTTGCCCTGATTTTTGTCTTCTGCTGGTCAGCCTTGGGGTGTGTCCCTCCCCCTACTCTCCTGCTTGTGCTGACACTGGACACGACCTCATGTGTCACCGCTCCAAATCTGACTAGCTGCTTTCTCATCTCTGCAGAGTTTGCCTCCCCCGTGGTTCTAAGACATTCCCTGTCTCTGCTGACCCTTTGGGCAGGAGCTGCCATGTACTCATCCATGATTCCCCAGAGCCAGAGCGGAGGCCCATGGGGACCATGAGTCCACTGAGGGTCATATGAAAGCCCAAGGGATGCTGTGCAGTGTCCGTAGCACTGGTGCCTGGGGAGGCTGGTGCCTTCCTGTCACACAGGCACTGGCGTACTGTAACCCTGTGCTTGGTGCTGAACGTGCCTTTCAGAGTGGAGCTGGGGTGGTGCTGGTGCCAGTGTAGCACTAAGCATGCCTCTTTCTGGCGAAGTACATGGTGGAGGAGGCCGCTTCTCATAGTGGTGCCCCGTGTCCTCCCATGTCAGCGTAGTCCACTCCCTCTGCCAGCCTCCTCCAGGGTGCTGGCACTCACCCGTGTGGCTGTGCTCTCAGCATTTGTCATGACCTAAAAGTGAAAAGCTCGATGTTGGGGAAGAGCACCCCCAACAGTACTGTGACTTCTCAGCCTCTCAAACCTCCATTACCCTGCAAACCATAGGTCACATGGGTGTCCCCTCAGCAGAGGATGAGGGGCTTGAGAGTGTCCTAAGGGGTTTTATTTTAGACCCATGCTGGGACCTAGGTGGGATTTGGGGCTGTCTAGCTCTCCTTGTGGCCCAGCCACTGCGTGCAACCACAGGGGCAGTGACTTAGCTATAGCCAGAGCCCCTCTAGGGGCGGAGGTGGCCCTGTACACTGGGTGTTCAATGCAGGCCTGTCTCTTGTCGTCTGGGTTCATGGGGCTCAGAGTACTTGAGGGGTGATGGGAGGGGATGCAGATGGGAGGAGAAGTGATGGATAGACCAAGTGGTCCAAGGTAGGCACCCCCTCCAGTTAAGCTTTGAGGCAGGTATTAGACTCCACCCAGAGAGGAGGAGCCAAGGGAGCAGGGTCTCCAGGGGACCTTGTGGGCAGCATCCAGGCATTTCTTGCATTTCCTTTGGTATCAGAGATTTGGGTTGCACATGGATGGGTCCTGACACCTCCCTAGGAAGGGAAGTCAGAGAAGGTGTGCGGGTGCCTGCAGCTGGCCACTGCCTGGAAAGGGGTCTTGGGGACAGCAGATCGGACCATGGGTACTGCATCCCACTCTGAAGGACAGAGAAGCTGGAGCTCAGGCTGTGGGTTTGGAAGCTCTCTTTAGATGTGTTGAGCCCCTGCGGTTTTGCCCAGCTCCTCGCTTCTCCCACTTATGAAGCTGTGATCCATCTGTAGGGCGGAATGAGAAGGGGCAGCTTGGCCATGGTGACACCAAGAGAGTGGAAGCCCCTAGGCTGATCGAGGGCCTCAGCCATGAAGTGATCGTGTTGGCCACCTGTGGGCGAAACCACACTCTGGCATTGACGGGTAAGGAGCTGGCAGAGGCCCAGTGGGCTACCCTAGGGTGGGGTGGAATCACCTCAGTGGCTCTTGGTCCAGTCAGAAAGGGCCCCAGTGGCTGTAGGTGACCCCCGCCCCAGCTGAGACAGTGCCAGGGTGTGTACCCAGGCTCCGATGGGAATGGGGTCTGCTCTGAAGTACCTACCCCTCCATTTAGTCTGCCTGGCAGATGAGCTGTTTTTATTTATTGGTACCGGGCATTGAACTCAGGTCCTTGAGCTTTCGAGGCAGGCGCGGTGCCACTGAGCTAAATCCCTGCCCTGTTTTTATTTTTTATTTTTTTGTTATCAGGAATTGAACTCGGAACCTTGCGCTTGTGAGGCAGGCGGCAGAACCACTGAGCTAAATCCCCGGGCCCTGTTTTAATTATTTTGATGCTTTTGATTCCAAACCTAGTTGAAAACAGTGTTCCTTTCCCTTTTGTGGTGTTTCTCTTCTTCCAGAAACTGGCTCTGTGTTTGCTTTCGGAGAGAACAAGATGGGGCAGTTGGGCCTCGGGAACCAGACAGACGCTGTCCCCAGCCCTGCGCAGGTAACTAGAGCACAGTGTGTTCTTTATATGGGTTTGGTCTGGGGTCAGGTGGATGCCTTACTGAGAAAGCTCTTCTTTCCTGAGGACAGATATGTGTAGAGAGGCCTGGTCTTTAGCCTGTTCTGTTCCAGAGAAAGTGAGAACTGTTCCTGGATGTAACTTTGTCTTCATTTGCAAAGATTTTGGTTTGACCTTGTGTGGAGTCACCTGCCAGGGGTTTAGAACACAGGCAAGTGCTGTGATAACAGAGATAACAGGCGTGTACTACGTACCTGGCGTAACTAAATCATTCTGAACCATTTGTTATTTCTTGTTTATACCTTCACTTAAGACTTAGGAGCCAGGTACAGTGGCACACGCCTGTAATCTCAGCTCTTAGGAGGACAAGGCAGGAGGATGGCAAGTTCCAGCCCAGCCTGGGCAGTTTGGCAACTTAACAAGACCCTGTCTCAAAATAAAAAGTAAAAAAGGGCTGGGGATCTAGCTCAGTGAGAGGCTCCTGAGTTCAACCCCCAGTATCACAAAACAAAAAAGATCCATGACTTCATGGTTCATTGTAACTGGGGGGCACTGACAGTAATAAAAATGTCTCTTATTTTAAAGTTGAGGCTGATTACTGGGGTTAGTGACTGAAGTGAGGTTTGGGGTTGCTGGTCAGTTTCTGTCACAGAATTTAGAATTTACCTGCCCAGTGTGAGCCCCGATGTGGGAGGCACACTGCTCTGCATTTTGGGGTTCAGAGCCCCAAGACGTGAGTCTCTTATACTCTGCTTGGCCCTGGGAAAGTGGGGGTCCCTGGGGTGTTTCTTTCCCTATGTTCTAAGCCTTGTATTGTCCACATGTGCCCAGCTTTTGCCTTTGGAGTTGTGGGATCCATTAAATCTCATTTGGATACGAGTAATTGTTTCATACCATTTAGGAAAGGGAGACTTTTATCAGTTTTTTAAAACATGTCTGAAGGTCTGCTGTCTTGTCTTTTCAGATAATGTACAACGGCCAGCCAATTACCAAAATGGCCTGCGGGGCAGAATTCAGTATGATAATGGACTGCAAAGGAAACCTCTATTCCTTTGGGTGCCCTGAATACGGCCAGCTGGGTATGGAAGTATATTTTTTTTTAAAAGCTCTGTAATCTTAACTGTATATTTAGAGTCAGAAATCAGTGTGGAGCCGTGCACACGTGTTAGAAATGTGGGTAATTGATCTCAGATAATAGCCTTTATCCATTAAGTGGGCCTCACATTTAGCAGCCAGCGTGTTGTTGCTCATGGGGTAACATTGTACAGTGATTTGCCTCAGTGAATGAGGCAAACAAAATTTTGTTGGAAGCCAACAAAATCGTTTCTCTGATTTGGAAATTCATTTATATAAGGGTCTTGGAGTTGTAGAAAAAAGAGAAAACTCAGCGACCTTCATTCACTTTCACAGATAAAAATTTACCCTTACTGGAAATGAGAAAATGACAGAAGGTGACTGTGAAAGTCCTGGCCTGGGTTTTATCTCAGGCTCACACATGAGGAGCCTCAGGTCATGGCAGGGGTACATGGGAGCCCTCCTGGTTTCATCCCTGAGAAATGTACTCAAGTGAAACCATGCTCACTTAGCATCTCCAAGGGAAGAAACTCAGCAAGGCGGATGTGTCCTCCCATCCTCGTGTTGCAAGGTCTCCATTTTCTTGGCCCATCTGACAGGGAGGTGGCTGTTCCTGGCACCTTCCCTGCTCCAGCATTTTCCCCAGGTCTCTGGGACACGGGCGCCCCCTGCTGGCTCCCAGGCTGCCTGTCTGCGCCCCAGGATCTGGGTTGCTGGGTCCCTGCGTCATTAGAAGTGGGCAGATGGCAAAGTATAAATAGAAGGCGGAGCAGCGCTGCCCTTAGACTTCAGGGAACAGTGACTTTGTGAAACTAAATATAACTCAGTCAGAAGTGAGAAAGAACAGCCCCTTACGCATATCCTTACACCAGTTGCTGAGGAGTTGGTGGGGCTGTTGAAGAAACAGTTGCCATGGCCACGGCCTCGCACTGTATGCAGTCAGCCCACACTGGAAGTGCGTTTCTGTGCTTCCTGCTACGTGCAACTTCCTGCAGCCTCTAGCTTGCACAGAAGCCAAACCAGCAGCATTTTGGAGCAAGTCCATTATCCTTTGGGTTGGGCAGTCTTGGCTCTCACAGCAACTAACTTGATCTGTGAGCGTTTCCTGTGTGTGTGGTGCAGATTCTCGTGGGCTCAGGTGTTGTTGCTCCTTTTAAGGTAGTTTAGGCAGCTGGAGATTCACATTCTCTTACCAGCTTCCTTCAGGGCACGTTTCTGGTCTGTCTCCGTGCAGACAGCTCCCCTGTAGGGTTAGGACAGAGCGCCATGGCAGGATCCGCAGTTCACACTCCCTCATGCATGCTCTTGTACACTGTTGGGCCGTGTAAGGCAGGTGGGAATTTGGCATTGGACAAGCTGTCCCCTCCCCAGAGCAGCCCTGTAATCCCACGAGTCCTGGAGGAAGTGCTGCCCTGGCCCTTGGGGAGAAGCAGGTGCTGTGTGCTGTAGAGGAGGAGGAAGGGGAATGTGCCTCCCTGCCCTCTGGGGTCCTCTGTCTGCCCTGTACCTAGCATGTGGAGAATGGAAGGGACTTGGGGACCTGTGTTGGCTGATTTCCAGAACCCCGAGAAGAGTGCAAGTGTTTCAGACCCTGTTGTTTTGTGAGAAATGGCTCGTGCCTGGATGAGGACAGATTACTGTGATGTCCTTAAATCCATTAGAGCCTTGGAAAGCTGGGGGATCCCTGGTGGCAGCCCTTCTGCTTTTAAGGCCAGGTGCTGGTCCCTGCGGTGCCAGAGAAGTGGTGTCAACACATGAACTGCTGTGAGGGGGAGGTCCTGAACAGTGCCCTGAACCAGCCCAGTGATTCGGTTGTGCTTAAACTCAGGGCGCTGTACATTGAGTGGTATCCTCAGTGCTTTTTATTTTGCTTTTGGTTTTGTTTTTTGAGACAAGGTCTTGCTGTGTAATTCAGGCTGGTTTTAAATTCACTATGTAGGTTTCGCCACCTGCTGTGCAAGCGCAAGGACCTGAGTTCGATCCCTGGTACCAAAAAAAAGAAAAGAAAAAAATCACTATGTAGCCCAGGCTGGCCTCAAACTCATGGCAATCCTCTTGCCTCAGGCTCCTGAGTGCTGGGATTGCAGGTGAGCACCACCATGCCTTGGCTTTCTTATTTTGAGACAAGGTCTTGCAAAGTTACCCATGCAGGTCTTGAGCCTGGCATCCTCCTGCTTCAGCCTCCCCACTGGCTAGTAAGACAGGCATGTGCCACCACATCTGGCTAAAGGTGCTTGATACTGCAGCATTCACAAATCAGCAAGAGTGGATCTGCAGGAGAACATATCAGTCGTGTAGAGGTTAAGCCAAAAGCTGGGCCAAGTGGCCACCACAGGCATCCCAGAGTCGCAGCTGACACACTGACTGCTGCAGCTCAGGCGTGGTGTTGGTCTAACGCTATGGCATTGTGTGGTGGCAGTCACAGGAGTGCTGCTGTTCTGCTGTTGTCCAGCCTACAGGGCTAGCCAGGAATGCCTATAATCACAGCAATTTGGCAGACTGAGACAGGAGGATCACACATGTGAGTCCCATCTGGGCAACATAGTGACCCCCTATTTCAAAATAAAATATTTTAATAAAGGGTTGAGGATGTGGCTCAGTGACAGAGCCCCTTGGGTTCAATTCCCAGTACCACAGAAGACCAATGAAGACTGCAGGGCAGTCAGGCTGTGGATTAGTGACTGGGTCCTGAGGCACTGTGCAGTTCAGGCTTGCGCATCCCTAACAGCGTGTGCAGGTGACTGGTCACTCCTGGGCACATGAGTCCAGAACTATTTCATACTGTCCTGTCTGTTCTTGGCTCACCAGAGGTTCTTTATGCCCCAAGCTGGGGCAGGTGATAATTTGTAGACTGCTCCTTGGAGCAATAGCTTCCCCTGCTCTGATCATGCACCACAGTAAGAAGCGAGTGTGCGTTTCAGGGAACAGGGAAAGGGGATGTTACTAGAACCTCTGCAGTGAGTCTGAGTCTCCTGCGAGCCCTGGCAGCACAAGGCGAATTAACTTGTTATACAGGAAAGGTAGAAAAAATGAGACTTGGAGAAAAAGCTGAGCTTTGGGCCTGATCAGTGCTGCTCTGGGCAGCAAAGAGGAAAGCCCTGGAGCTTGTCTCACCTTTTATTCAGTACATCGGGAGAAACAGATGTAACAAATGACTTGCAGAGAGAGTTCAGTACGTTGGGATAAGCAAAGTGTAACAATCCAGGAACAATGAGGAACTGAGTAGACGAAGATTTTGTTCCTCCCAGAATGTCTTCAGCTGGTGTAATCTTGTCCTGGAGAATCACAGCATCACTGGATCAATGAGGTCTCAGTTGTGACCGGAGGCCAAAATGGAATTGTTTTGAAATGCCATAGCTGGCCTGTAGGCAGGAGAACTAGGCCTAATCAAATGATTTTTCCCTAAAATTACATAATATTACTCCCGACAAGTGTGTCCCACCCTGAGTAGAAGGGATTTTCATAAGGTGGTATTCTTGTGTGAGAGTCCTTAGTGTTTATTCTGTTCAGCTCATTTTCAAAAAAGAGCTGGTGTGATCCTATAAAACTGATACCATAATTCACTAAGTAGGTTCCAATTGGGAAACCTGGGGAGGTCCAGACCTGCCCAGGATAGGTTAGGGCAGGTGCTCTGGGCCGGCCCACAGCACCTAAGGGGCACAGTGCTGTGTCCCATGCTGCTGCTGACGGCTGGCTCTGTGGTCACTGCAGGACACAACTCGGATGGGAAGTTCATTGCCCGGGCACAGCGGATAGAGTATGACTGCGAGCTGGTGCCCCGGCGAGTGGCCATCTTCATTGAGAAGACGAAAGATGGGCAGATCCTGCCGGTACCCAACGTGGTCGTACGCGATGTGGCCTGTGGCGCCAACCACACGGTAAGGCTTGGTTTCCTCACATGTGGGTCCAAGAGTTATTTAGGCTCCGGTGTCCAAGCACTGGCATCCTGCCTGGTTCCAAGGGCATGGGGCAGAGTCCCCTTGTCCTGCTCGTAGAGATGTAGCCCTTTGGTTTGGACAAGGGGAAGACCAGTGGTTTGAAGGGGGAGTGGAAATGGGGTCCCTGCAGGGAAAACAGCAAGTTTTCCCCCTACCCAGATGCTCACTCTGCTCTGCTTGCTCCACTTTTCCTGACTGCAGGAGGCAGGTGTGGAGGCACTGTGACTGTCCCTGTGCTGTTAGCCACTGCACCAGGTTCTCCCCCTGTCACCTCGGGAGGCCCTGGTGACCCCACCGGTGTCTCTCTTCCCCGCAGCTGGTCCTGGATTCCCAGAAGCGCGTCTTCTCCTGGGGCTTTGGGGGCTATGGCCGCCTGGGCCATGCAGAGCAGAAGGACGAGATGGTGCCTCGCCTGGTGAAGCTGTTCGACTTCCCCGGCCGTGGTGCTTCGCAGATCTATGCTGGCTACACCTGCTCCTTTGCTGTCAGTGAAGTGGGTCAGTGCTTCCATCCCTGCCTGTGGAGCTGGGGTGTGGTTGCCCCTCCCCCAAAGGTCACTGCTCCACGGAGTCGTGTAGCTGTCATCCTGTCACCAGTCTAAACCCTGTGACACTTCATGTCCCAGTGTCATTTCCCATGAGTCACTCGCTGTCACACTCTTGTCTTCCCCTTGGCTGCTGAGGCGGGGCTTTACCTCCTGAGACTCAATGGTGGGATTGTGTTCTGTTTTTCTCCAGGAGGGCTGTTTTTCTGGGGGGCCACCAACACCTCCCGAGAGTCTACCATGTATCCGAAAGCAGTGCAGGACCTCTGTGGCTGGAGGATCCGGAGCCTGGCTTGTGGGTAGGTGGCAGTCACCTGGCTCAAGCGTTGGGCACACCCACAGCTGCCTCTTGCTTGGGAGGGCTCCACATCTGTGGATGGTGGGGTCTCCTTGTCCAGGCCTTGGGATACACAGTTCCAAATGGGGATGCAGGAGGAGGGCCCTTGGCTCTGGTGGGCCCTGGGACAGACGGCCCCTTCCCTGTCTTCATGGGAAGAAAAGTCCCTGAGGGGCTTTCTTGGAATAAATGCAGGCAGAGAGGGTCATGACTCCGAGTTGAAAGTGGCAGGAATTTAGTTTCTCAGCACACTGGGAAGAACTTAACTTCAGATCGGTGTTCTCATGTTTGGTGTCACGTTCTGGGTTACCCAGCCGGCTTGGTGAGTTGGGGATGTGAATCTATTGGTGTTCATACAGTAGGGTGTGGAGTCAGCATGGCTCTGCTTTATTGAGATCTCGATTCCTGGGCCTCTGCTCTCCAGTTCCAGTGTGAATAGAGTCCCACCCCCTTGGGAATGGGCTGTCACCTCATCCTGATGTGGTCTCTGCCCAAAGTGACCTCCCCGGGCCCTTTGGCAGGGTGAGGCAGCAGGGTCCCTGGCTTGGCTTCCTGGTGCTGTGCAGGGCTCTGGGGTTTAGCTGAGGCCCAGGTGGCTCATGGGGACCAGCAAAGACTCCCCAGCTGCTGAGGGGCTTGCAACAGCCATGCTTATAGTGACAGTCCCTGCCATTTTCAGGAAGAGCAGCATCATCGTGGCAGCTGACGAGAGCACCATCAGCTGGGGCCCATCGCCGACCTTCGGGGAGCTGGTGAGCTGCACCGCCTCTCCTGAATGCATGGGGACTGGTTGTGTGTCTGAGTTGCAGTCCGCAGCACTCCGTCATCTTGGACCACGTTAGGTTTCAAGGCCAGATCTGCTGATGAGTGTCATCATCTGGGGCAAGATTGGGGCAAGATGGTGCGCCACAGGGACAGGAACCGGGCCACCTCTTCCTTCCCAAGAGGGCCAAGTCCATGGCCAGCACTGTGTCTTTAGCAAGTGTGCGTCCAGCCGGCCTTGCCTTTCAGCTCAGAAGGCAGCTTAGCCATTAGTTTGCACTCTGTGGAACAAGGTGCCATTTGAGACAGCCAGGCAGGTGACGTGGGGACACTCATTTTATCTAAATTGAATTTTGTTTTCCCTTTTTTGGTGGGGAAGGGGGGCTTCTGGGAATTAGCCCCAGGGCCTTGTGTGTGCTAGGCACGCCAGCCCTCTCTGAGCTGCATTCCCAGGTTTAAAAATTTTATTTTGAAACAAGGTCTCTTGCTAAGTAGCCCAGGCTGGCCTTTTTCTTTTGTTGTGTTTTGTTTTGTTGTTTTTTGAGGTGGGGTCTCACTATGTAGCTCAGGTTGGCATTGAACTCAATGTATTGCCTGGGATGACCTCAAACTCTCGCCAGTCCTCCTGCCCTCTTCTGTGGTAACTCAGCCCTCTAGAAGCAGAGGTGTCGGTGGGGGGGCTTGTAGGCCTGGCAGCTCTTCCTGTGCTTGGGGTATCATCTGTCCCCATATGATGCCCCCAGAGTGTGGTGTTATCCCCGAGACCCAGGTCAGGATCTAGCATGTTGGGCTCCCTTGCTTAACAAGGCATCCGGTGGCATCTGTGTGTGTTGGTGGCTAGTCTGGCACTTGGGCCAGTGGCCAGGGCACTTTCTCTGCCCCTGGTCAATGGAATACTTGGAAGCCTCAGTGGCACCCCTGATTTTGGACCATGCCACAGTGGTTGCTGTTCTGTGAGCGTCTCTGCTTCCCTCCCCAGGGCTACGGGGACCACAAGCCCAAGTCTTCCACTGCAGCCCAGGAAGTGAAGACTCTGGACGGCATCTTCTCAGAGCAGGTGAACGTGGCTGCCTTTGGGGCGGGGCACAGGGTGCAGAGGAGACCCTGGCACCGTCTGTGCTTCTGGGTGTCCGCAGCCCTTTTGAGTCATGCCATTGTGACCAGCCTTCCCAGCCTCACTGCAGGAGAGAGGAGGTACCCAGGAATGCGGGCCAGGCTCAGAGGCTGTCCTCCCCTTGGTGCCACACAGCATGGTCCAGCCACAGTACATTTGTTTCCAGGGCGAGTGTGTGTGCGTGTGTGTGCATGTGTGTGTACGTGTGTGTGTGCCTTCACTAAAACTGAGGTGCATACTACTAGGTCCAGGTGGAAGTACACAATGGGTGGTGACCCAGGGAGGTGGGTGGAGCAGGATGCCACGTCTCCATGTCCGGCAAGTCCCTGCCAGCAGGGCTTAGTAGGTGTCCTTCTGTCTCTGGCTAGGAGGGTGCAAGTGCTATGGTCAACACGAGGCCAGCAGTCTCCTGGAGAGAGAGGGGGTTTGCATTTGCTTTCCCAGGACCCTGCTTTTCTGACCCCCCTCGCCAGTGCAGCAGGGCAGTGTCCCCTTGTGCCTGACTGCTCTAGGCTGGCTGACCAGGTGTCTTGATTTGTCCCCACAGGTGGCCATGGGCTATTCACACTCCTTGGTGATTGCCCGGGATGAGAGCGAGACAGAGAAGGAAAAGATCAAGAGGCTGCCAGAGTACAACCCGCGCACCCTTTGAGCAGAGCCAGGCTCTGCCCTGCGGCAGCTGTCATTTCCGCGTGCACTGGGACAGGAAGTCAGACGAGGAATTTAGAAAAGGAGAGTTGACTGAAGGTGCATTTTTGTTAGACTCCCCGAGGTTCTATTTTCTAAGTGATTCAACGTTAACTACCTTTTTCTGTATGCTTTCCAAAGTGGTTTTTTTTTCAGTGTTTAATTAAAATATTTGCTCATTGTTGACTTACCATTCCTACAAAAGAGGCAGAAACTTTGAGCAATTTAGGTTTTTTTAAGTTGTATTCTTTTTTCCTCTTCTGAATATGCTTCCCCAAACCTCCCATTCCAGTTGTAATTAGCATTGTGGTCTGAGTGGGTGCTACATGGGAGAGGAATGGCCGTTTACTCTGACAAAAATGTCCCTTACGGGAACCAGCAGCATCTATGCCAAGATGTCCCTGGTAGCCGATCTCCATCCAAAGTCAAACAAGCGTGCTTGGGGAGCATCTGGGCCACTTGCCGCTTTTCCCTGCAGACTGGCTCCAGCTGCCGCTTGCTCTGCTCCCCTTGGCTGCTTGGAAGCTCCACAGCCTTTTGGCTGCACCATTCATAGAATCTGCTATTTCCCCCCTGGCGGGGGCTTTGGGTTTATGTTTAGCCATTTTTTATCTCCTTTAGCTGTACAAGAAGTCCAATTGAGAATCAGATGGTGATGAACCATGGGACCTGGTGGGTGGAGCAGAGGTGGGGAACATTTGTAACTGTTGGAGGGTCTGGCTTTATGGCTCCCTTTCGAGCCCAGGCCTTGGCACTAGCGCTGCTCAGCTCTAGAGGTCGATCAGTCCGCTGTCCTGGCACACTCTCCAGGCCCTGAGAGGAAGGACCAGTCCCTGTGTCGCAGCCTGTCACCGCCGCCTCTGCTTCCGTCTGTCTTGCCTGGCCATTCCCACCCCAAACAGCTGCCCTGTCTTGCACCTTGGGTTGCTGGCCCGCTAATCCGCGCTCTGGTCACATGTGCTCAGCTCTGGTACCAAATAGCTGGGATTCCTGAAGCGATCCCCCTGCCCTGTGTGTCAGTGCAGAAGCCAGGATGGCTGTCTGCCGTGTCCCTGTCAAGTGCCCTCTGCCCAAGCCGTCCCTGTGCCGACCGCACTGCGGGAGTTACGAGGTGCCTTTCCTGGAACCAAGCGAGGCGACAGCACTGGCTGGGGCTTGAGGTTTCCAGGGGTCTGGACTGGTTTGGGTGCTTTAAATAGATTTTTAGCTCTGTGGTGCTTCTGGGGGAGAAAGGGGTTCAGTGTGAGACTTGGGTGGATGGGAGACTTCAGTACTGGTGTTTAGCTGTTATTTTTGCTTTTGCTGTTGTTACCACCTGTCATTGTCTCCATGTTAAAATGCCAAAAATGATCTAGTTGTCACCGCTTTTCCCCCACCTGTCTTCCTACCCCGTCCCTGCTCACAGTGACTTCTGTCCTTCTGGGTCTCAGCTGGTCCCACAGCCTGCATTTAAGACCCAGCCCGAGTCCTTGCTCATTTCTGCCACCCTGTGTTGGACAGTGGCCCCAGGACAAGCTTCTGCAGTGTCAGAACTTCTGCTGAACTAACCTGATCTGTCCCTGTCACCCCCAGATGCTTCCCACCCAAGATCCCGTGGGTGGGGCCTATGTGGTCCCTGCTCCCACCTGAGCAGCTCCCCTGAGCGAGGCTGGCAGTCTCTTATTGTCTTACACCCTGGGGTCTCCCTGGAGCTCTGTGGTACCCAGAGGTTGAGGACACAGTAGTATGGGAGCTGCCCCGGGCTGAGCTGGGCTCATCTTCCAGGCGACACCTAAAACCAGCGGCTGCCACCCTCGGGCCCCAAGGTGTCCTGTGCCCTCCCTCACCTTCCTCTCAGTGTAGGATTGTAACATGAACTTCCTCTTGGGGAGCACCCTTTAGAACAGGAGTTGGGGCGGCCTGCACTCTTCCAAGAGGCGCAGAGGACCGAGCAGAGAAGGGGCTTGGCTGCCCTGCAGTGTCCAGCAGCCCTCCATGTCTGGAAGGAGAGTCCAAAAGGGGGCTTAGGTGGTTGGGAATCAAAGAGGACATTGTGATTTGGTTGAAGGCGCCTGGTTTAGTGCTGTAATTGTCTTTATTTTTTTTTATATATATATTTCTTGGAGTAAACATTTTAAATAAACTGCATCATTGTTTACTCTGTCTTGGCTTTTGTTTCTTTTCCAGTAGAACGAAGTGCATGCAGTGGCTCCATTTTGCTCAGTCTCCTGTCCCTGTAAGTCCTGGGACATGAAAGAGTGGGTGTTAGGAGAAAGTGGGCCCTGGAGCTGGTTCTAGGCTTGCAGTGTGCAGGGGTTGGGAGATGAGTGAGCCCCAGCTCTGCTCCTTGCCACGTGTGCGCTGGGGGAGGGAGGCAGGGTCTGCCTCTTGTCACAGGGCTGGATGCTGCCATCTGGTGGGCTTCCCCTGGGCTGAATATGCAGGAGCTCTGTGGATTTAGGACCTTCCGACACTACAGTGAGACTGTCCTGGGTCTCACTTTGAGTGCAGGACATGGGGTGTTCCACTGTTGCCAGTGGGCTTGGTGCTGGTCTTGCCCAGCTACAGGCTCAGAGTCTGCACGGGACAGGAGTCTGAGCTGGGCTCTGAAGCTCAGTAGATGTGAAAGTCTGAGAGTTTATCAGGGTATAATCTCACCAGAAGCTGAGGAGCTGGTTCCCAAATCGGTTCCCAAATCGTATCCCCAAACTCTTCAAAGGAAGCACAAGGCACCTGAGCCCAGACTGCAGCTTCAGTCTTGGCCCTTTAGGGGCAGTGTGGCAAGTGGGCAGTAGGGGGCACCAGGAGGCCAGTTCTCTGTTCTTGGCCACTGTGCAGGGCAGTGTCCCGGAAACAGATGCTGGCATCAACATCGAACACATGACAGGTGTCGCCCACCCACCAGCAGTCCCGAGGACCTGGCCACATTTGTCCTAGAGGAAAGTGAGAGGCCCAGAGAAGAAATGACCCTAGCTAAAATACCACCTTGCTACCCTGCTGGAGTGTGCTGCTCTGAGGACAGGGAGCCCATGTGGTCTGTGGCCACATAGGGGCAACCTTTGGAGCTGTGGAGTTGCCAAGAGACTCCCTCACCTGGTCTCATGCACTTTGGCCCAGAGTCAGGGAAAAGGGTCAGGCTTTGGCCAGCAGAGACCATGCCTGTGGCTGGTGAAGGTGGGATGTCCTTGATGGGCGGAGCTGCTGCTACCCTGCCAGACCCATGGCCTCGTTGGCCAGCACCCTCTGTCCTCGGTGGAGCAGGGAAGGGAGGGGTGCTGGGTCCTGTAGGATAGATGTATCCAGAGGATGACAGTGCCAGAAGGACCTCAGGAGCCAGCCCTGGATGCTGGGCAGTCCAGGTGTCCATTCGGAGGTCAGTGAGGGATAAAAGTAATCTAGGAGGGCAAGTCCAAGATGGGGGCATTCTGGAAGCCTGAGGTGGAGAGGGCATCGGGGGCTGTGTAGCTGACTTGGTATCTCGATGCTGTGCTGTCAGCCCCCCAGATATTCCTGTCCCCACCTGCTGGGTGGGCAGTACAGCCCCAAGTCAGGTCAAGCACAGCCATGGCCAGCCTGTGTGCAGGGGAGGCTGAGGGTAGGCAGGTGTGGATCCCTGCACTTGGCCTTGGTCCAGGGCTTTCTGTAAATGACCCACCTTCACCACCTTCCAGAGCAGTCAGAGCTCTCTGGGACCAGCTGGTCCTCACTGGGGCTGGTGTAGGCAGTGTTCACTAGGAAGGCAGAACAGGAGTGCAGTGAGGGGCCGAATGACCACTGCCCAGCAGGTAGGCCCAAGGGAGAGGCTATGGTGTCAGCGAAAGGCCCGGGTTGGGGGCCCAGGGCTGGGCGACCTTGGCAAGAGCTGGAAGTCCACTGGGTTAATGCAACTGGTTAAGAGAAACCAACAGTGTCCTGCAGGCTGCAAATACTCAGTTCCGACAATGGCTGTGGAGGACACCTGACGGCAGGTTGTGGCTGAGATGAGGGAACCAGGGAGCTGCAGCAGGGAAGGGTTAAGCCTGCCAGGTCTACAGGGCCTGGGCTGGCCAGAGAAGCATGGGGGAGGAGCTGGTTACTGTCACCACAGGCCAGTGAGCTATATCTTGGCAGCCCTCAGTAGACGGCAAGTTCCCCAGGAAGGAACCCTGCAGGATCACCTGGATAGTGGACATTCCCTGTCTGCTTCCTGGTCCCAGGGCTGTCCTCTCCCACTTCTTCCCAGAGAGGGATCCAGGAGCCTCCATTAAAAAAAAAATCTCTGGCTTTTCCCAATCATTAGGAAATGCACATTGACTCACAGGGCCCCTTATACCCCCTTCATCACCAGCCCCTTTGTTAACAACTGTAAAATGCACTGGAAGAATGGCCCACACCTGTAATCCCAGCACTCAGGAGGCAGAAGCAGGAGGATCACTGCAAGTACAAAGCCAGACTGGGCTACAAAGCAAGACCCTGTTTCAGAAACTAAAACAAAACACTGGAAAGCCTGTCCTGGGTCAGCCCCAGGGTACCACAGGGTATGCAGCTGCAAGTAAAAGTTCTCTGTGTTACAGACCAGGAGCCTTGAGTCACCTTGTGCGGATTAACAAAGCAGTTTGTGAGATGCTGAGGTAGCAGTGCATGGCCAAGGCCAGAGAGCAGGTCCGAGATTCATCCGTGACCCAAGGCTCCTCCAACACCAGGGGAGCCCAGGTCCAATCAGCTCAGGCTTCAGATCCCAGCTCCCAGCCGTGCTGGCTGCTGCCCTCAAATAAGTCCTATGTCTGAGCTGGCTCTTGGTCAGACAGTTCTCCCCAGCAGGCTGAGACTACTAAGCCGGCTGCTCCGCACTGCCAGGTCTTAGCCCTCCAGGTCACGCTGTGGCCATGCAGGCATCAATGTGGTGGCTGTTGGGTACCTAGGGTCACATACCTATTGTTCTCACAGTGACTCTGTGGATGCAGGGTCCCATTCTACAGCCTTGGAACTGAGAACACATAGCCAGCTCTTTGCTGGCTGTTGATGCTGCAGGAACTTGGAGCACGGAGCACCAGGAGAGTGCTGTGTGGGCCCAGGAACAGTGCAGAATGGGGCCTGTTCCCGTGGTCCCACCAGACAGCGGAGGACGACTGGGCCCTGTCGGCTGCCCCCTACCCCTGAGCTGGAGTCAGGGCTGCCTTGGGCCCAGCCCCACTTCTCACTATGGATATCAATGGTCAGCTCCTTTCCCTGGCTTGCCATGATAGAATCCCGGAGGGGCCATCATAGAGGTTGGCGGCAAAGGCTAGGAGCAACAATGGTTAAGCCTGCTAAGAGACACACTAGATTTGATAGTCTCTGTGCCATTGGCACAGGGTGAACGGGCAGAAGGAAACAGGAGGTGGTGGGTCCTGGAGTGCACTGCTGGCTTAAGAGCTAGCCCAGCCGGCCTCTCAGGCCACACCTGAGCCCTGTTAGACTGTCTTCCCGAGACCAGGAGCCACCACCCTGAGGCCAGAGGCCCACTAGGCATCATGCCACTCATGGGCATCCACTCATGGGCATCCTGCAGCTACCACGCCCAAGGGGAGCCCTCCTCTTCCTCCAGCCATCTGAACCCAACATATTCAGTTCCTTAGATTATGCAATAATTTCAGTCCAATTTTTTCTTAGATAGGGTCTTGCAGTATATTTCAGCCTGGTCTTGAAATCACTACCAATATGTAGCCCAAGCTGGCCTTGAATCCTCATTCAGCCTCCAGAGTGCTGGGATTACAGGTGTGTACCACCACAGCTGGCCCAGGGAAATTACACAAAAATTAAAGAGGAGGAATAGCACATCCCCGTCTCTGGCCCCACAGGAGCCAGGCAGCAGGAGTGGCTCAGCCAAGGGGACCTCCTAGCACACAGGTCTTCCCCAAAGCAAGGAGGCGCCACCAAAGTGCACTCAGAACAGCTAGAGCTTTATTGGCTCTGTAGTAAACATAGTTGAAGACGGTTTTCCATGTCCCCCTTCTGTTCCCAGGAGGTCTGAGCTGGTAGCATTTGCTACCCTACTGGATCTGAGGGATGGGGTGACTAGGGCAAGGGAAGCATTGCCATAACTCTGCAGCCACCCCCACAAATGGGCCAGGAATCATGCTGGTGGTACTTGGTGATAATGGGCCATTGCTGGGGTGGGACAGGGCAGCTCCAAGGCCAGGGCTAAGGCACCATCTTCCACCACTTGAAGGCAAAGGGCACCCGGCGGATGTTGGTACAGGCACAGAAGTCTCCGACATCGGTCAGGTAGCAGTCAAAGTCATCAATGAAGGTGCACTTGAGGCCCAGGGGCTCCAGTAACTGGCAGATCTTTTCTTCTAGGCAACAGGTGCCCTTGATTTGTGGCCCAAAGGGCTTGGGGATCCCCAGATCCTTGCCCATCACAATCATTCGAAGCTGTAGAAAGATAGTGAGCAAGGTTCAGGGGTCAGAGCCATGGGAGAAAGGCCCTACCCGTTCTTCTTGGCCAGAGTGCTGTGGGGCTTAAAAACCCACCTCCCTTACTGAGTGTTTGGCTGGACCAGGAAGACCAGCACATGGCATGGTTATTTTTCCAGGCCTGTGCCCATACAGACATCACTAATCAATCTCAGTGAAATCTGGGTTTCTGCTTAGTCTTCCAGTGACTCCTGATAATGTTTCACAGTAACAAAATCCAAATTCTGTCCAGCTACAATCTGGCCTTGCTGACTTCTGTATTCTATATTTCTGTTATGCTGGTTTTTCCCATCTTGTCTGTGCCACTTCCTGCTGCCTCTACTAGCCTGTCCTCCTCACCCTAGCCTGCCCATTGACTGTTGTCTATATCTCAGCTCTTCCTCAAAGCAGCTTTGTTCCCCACCATGCAGACCTGTCCCCCAGGGGCTGTAGCAGGCTTGGCCACGCTGATCCGTTAGAAGATTATGTGATTGGTGAGGACAAAGCAGGGCAGGTGTTTAAAGCACGAGGCAAACACCTCGGAACTCACTTTAGTTAGGCACCTGTGTGATGGGTCGTGGTTGGTAAGGAGAAAAGGCAGATGTAGCCATTGTTGGCTGAGGCCAATACAGCAGGGGCCACTCTCCCCATCCTTCCCCCTCCTGACTTCACTCTCCATTTAGTCACTTTACATGTTTGAGTGCCACCTGCTCTGGACCCTGGGAACAGAGGACAAGAGACCCCTCGTGGAAGGTCTCCGCCAGCATCCAGCTGGGGAGTACAATGTCCCCATCTGTAAAGGGGCTTGTCAGGTCTATCTCTTTAGGGATGAGCCAGGTAGGACCCTGGCCTGCAGTCACTGCTCACGTGCATCCGGCCTTCAGGCCCAGGTCACCTGTCCACTGGGACAGGGCTCCTGCCCCAGCTGAGGGAGAGAGAAGTGTCCATCTCGCTTCCCACAGCTGCTGTGACCCAAGCCCTGCAGGCCTTTCCTGTGTCTCGGAAGGCGACATGTCTGCCTAGACCCACTGACATTAGCTGAAGAGGTACTCCCCCTGCCCCAAGCTGCCAGTGGCCCTCACCACGTCAGGGAAGTAGGGCCTCGCAAAGAATCTACAGGGCTGCTGGTCCGAGGGGACGTTGGTCAGCTGCTCCAGGCAGAAGAGCTGGGGGATGTCGATGATGTCATCCTCCAGCAGGCCCAGCTTCTCCCTCAGGATGGCGCGGTTCAGGCGAATGCACCTCTGTGGGGTGGGAGAGACCCTGCTCAACCCACTGAAAACCAGCACCCGGCCACCTCCCTGGGTCCTGTGGCCGTCGTACCCGGGACAGCCATCACCCACCTGGTACCCACCCTGCCCGTCTGCCAGGGCCTCCCTGGTTTGCGGAAGTCAGGACACCACTATGCTGGCCACAGAGGAGTCAAGAGAACCTAGTTCTGCTCTCAACCTTGGACAGGAAGCTCCCCTTCTCCAGGCCTCAGCTTCCCCTTCTAGAGGCTAGACGATTGCTCCTGGGGACTCTGCTTTTTGCAGCCAGTGATGCACAGTCTAAGATCAGAGAACCCAGGGACCCTGCTCACTATTTTGGGGCTGTGACAGTAGCCACTTCAACCAGGAAGCACCGAGAAGTCCCTGGTCCATTTCCGAGTCAAACAGCAAGAGCTTCTCGGGAAAAGGGGGCAGGCCTCTGTCAGGGGGTCTGAGCTCTGTCACCATTCCCAGAGAAGTGCTCTCCAGGCCACTCAAACAGCACAATCAGCAGAGCATGAAGCCTGATGTGCACCCGGACACAGACCCAGGTCCCCCTCATCTTAGCCGGTGCCTCTGCCCGGAGCCTCCCTGTCATCATACGAAGGCTGGATTCTACTTCCTATCCCCAAGGTTCCAAGAGGCAGCTCACATGATGCCCAGGCCACAGCAGGTGCCCAGCTGGGATCTTGTCCAGACTGTCAGGGCCTTTCCAGCAACTTGGAAAGAGCGAGGTGGGCACTCCTGACCCCCAGGTAGTGTAGGAAGCCAGTTGAGAAGCAGACACTCTGGTCCCAGACATGCCACCCCCTACCACCCTGTCCATCCCCATCCTCCATCCAGGGAATCTGGATCCAGCCTGTATGAGGATCTGGAGGAGGAAAGAAGTTGGCAGCCACCCTCTCTGGGGATAGACCCTGTACCCTGGCCCCCTACCTCTACATAGTCGTTCTGATTTCTCAAACTTTTGTCAGCAAGAAACTGGTTGATGGTTTTGGCCTCCCTTCCTGCAGGAGGGAGGAGAGGATAGGCAGGTCAGGGCAGGGGTTGTATTGCCCGGAGCCAGGCACAGCCAGTGGGTGACGATGGTGACAGGCCCACTAGTCCCTGGGGCCCAACCCAAGTCCAGAGTCTTAACCTAGGGACTGACCACTGTCCATGCCTGAGAGCCCAGGCAGGACTTGTCACCACCAGCCACTGTCCCTGCCCTGAGAAAGGCAGCCTAGAACACATGAGCAGGGCAACTTCCTCCCTGCTCATTTCCGGGACGCCTTTGTGTACCACCAGACCTGATCTTACAAGGGTACGGTAATTTCATTCCCAGTTGCCTAACTTTGGGATGGGGATGTCCAAGATGCAGTCACCAGCCCTGCGGTAACAGTCTTTGGTATGTGGTCCATGCTCAATAAATACTGCCTTCTATAATGCTCTTGTGGCCAGGAGGCCACTCGGCCCCACTGTACAGGCCACTCGGCTTCCAATGATGCTAAAAGCTGCTGGTTCTCAGACTACACTGAGTACGGAGGCTCTAGAGAAGGTCCTGACCCCCTGCCCTGTTTTCTGGGAAAGTTCTTTTGTGTGTTCCCTCCACATCTAGGTCAGAATGGTCACAGCACCAGCCACGCCTCTTCTGCTTGTCCACTTATGTGTTTCCTCGAGGGGCAACCAGGAGACTCATGAAGCCCAAGTGCCCGGATATTCATACGGACCCCAGCCAAACAAGACCAGGTAAAGGCTGTCTGACAGGCACCCGGAGCTGGCTGGGCTTCTTGGAGGGGTCCCTTACCGTTAGAGCGCAGCAGGCTAGGGCTGACACCCTCAAACAGAGTCGCGTTCCCATAGCCTTCCTCCTGCTTCTCTTGGAGCAGCTTGTAGCAGGCTCTGGGGCTGGCTAGGAGCAACCGGAAGCCCTGGGAATGGGGCCAGAGTCAGAAGCCAGCACCTACTTTGGCAATGTCTAAGGGTCGCTAACAGAAGGTGCCTCCACCACAGACCTTTGAGCTCTCTTTCTTTTCTTCCACTGGGATGAAGCACATGAACTCATCCAGGTGGCCGGTCATCAGCCAGTCTGAGAAGAGCTCCACAGGCGCTTGGACCTGCTGTGCGTGGAGGAAGTCGCAAAGGCTCTTGCTCATCATCCGGCTCTCGGCACTGGAAGGGAGATGGGAGTGCAGCCCAAGTTGGTGTGGCTGCTCTGACTCACCATGGGGTGGTTAAGAATCCCTTCCTCCAACCCAACTCAGGATAGAGCCAAACTATACTACACAGATCAAATCCAGGACACAGGATCACCTAGCTTCAGGTTAATAGCCACCAAGAAATCCAGCTGCACGTTTTGTGCAAATACCATCTTGCATGGTCCATAGGCTAAATTCCTGCTTCAGTTTAAACCCTGGGATCACCACAGCACGAACAGTTGCTTTATCTACGTTTAGTCTCCCAAAGACTAAAGCCAAAGGCTCAAACATCACCCATATTTCAGTCTGAGAAATGGTCCAGAGCAGATGCCAGCTGAGGTCCTGGGAGAATCACTGTGGCCTGCCAGGGGCTTCTCTTTTGTTGTGACATCCGGGCACCTCTGGGCCTCTTGGCTCACCTGGGGTAGAAGCTGCCACCAAAGAGGACTCTGCCCAACGGGTACTCTTTCCCCTGGGCCCTGACGGGTGGGGACACCATCAGGTTCCCAATGGTATCCAGGCTGGCCACCGTGTGGTCCTTGGTGTGTTGGATCACGTAGCCCACACCAGGGCTCTGGAAGGGGACACATTGGGGGCAGGGAGTGTGAGGAAGGGGGGCATCAGGCCCCGATCTGACTCCTAATCAGGCTGTCAACCACCTCAGCCCCCTCCCAGCCACCTGCAACCTTCCCCTGGGGACCCCATCATTTCTGGGCAAACGCCAGGCCCGAGAGGCTGGCCTCTATTCAGATCAGCTAAACCAAGCCCCACACCAGTGCATATTTCATGGGGAACTCATCAAGCTTGGTGGCCCGAGGGGTGTCCAGGACAAAAGATGTCATCTTCTGGGGGGCCTCAGTGTAGCAGAAGGCCATCTCGTCCTGGAAGAAACAGGGAGACCGATTATGAGGTCGTCCTACTCCAACAGCTCCTGCTCGTGTCCAGCCTGCAGGCCCCGAAGCTCCCTGGATGTGGGCCACCTTCAGAAACAGCGCCAACAAACCCTCCTGCCAACTCCTGCTCAGCCCTCAAAACCCAGTTCAGGTGCTCTATTCCTGATCGCTTTCATTCTTCAGGTTTGGAATGTGCGTCATCTAGGTTCTTCTTTCTTCCTCCCCAAACTGACAAGTCTTGGTGGCTTTACCTCACCTCATCTCTGATACCCTGAGGAGGCCACCATGATCTCTTCCTATCCTACTACCATGCCTTCCAGCCAGTCTCCCCTCACCCAGATCTGCCCCCTACATCCATTTAAAAGCCAGTGGGGCTTTTAAAAATCCAAACCAGGGCCGGGGATTTAGCTCAGTGGTTCTGGTGCCTGCCTTGAAAGCACAAGGTCCCAAGTTCGATCCCTGGTACCAAAAAAAAAAAAAAAAAATTCAAACCAATCTTTCCCATTCTTTTGAGATGAGGTCTTGCGCCAAGTTCCCCAGGCTGCCTTTGAACTTGTGATCCTCCTGCCTCAGCCTCTTGAGTAGCTGGAATTACAGGCGTGTGCCACCACATCTGACCTCAACTTTTCTTTCACACCTAATTTATTGCTCTTAATGTCACCCCAATTTGCTTGGACTTTCTGTTCTTTAACTGCACCCCAGTGCCATTCTTGTCAGGCTCTGACCCCTGTTCATTGATGTGGCTGTGGGCAGTATCGGTCACATATGCCAGATTCTGGGTTCCCAGGGTCAGCTGAGGGCTTTCCCAGCCACCTACACTGCCTGGCTTAGCCTAGTTCTAGGAATTTCCCATATCGTCTCGCTTTCTCTCTAACACTCAGGAGTTCCAGCCTTTTCGGAGCAGGGCCACCCATCCCATCCTGGCTTCTCCCTAGCTTTAAGGGGGGAACACCCAGCAGATGGCACTCGCTTGAGTATGGGACAGAACGGCACCCCAGAATTGAAGCTGAGCTGGCTCTGGACCTGGTGCTGTGCCAGGACAGGGCGGACCCTGCAGCCACAGCCCAGCCTTGACTATAGCTGAAGGCAGTGGTGCCTCCAGGGGTGGGGAGCCAAGGCTCTGTGGTTTCCAACACACAAGCTTCCTGAAGGGGAAGAGCTTGGACCCATAGCTTTATCCCTCGGTGGCTAGAACTCGGTGCGTCACTTCCCCTGAGCCTCTGATGAGGTCCGAGAGGGGAAGATGCCTGTCAAGGGGAGGGGGAGTCCCCTCCCCAGAGGCCAGGGTGCGTGGGTGGGGGTTACCTGCAGCCACCTGCCCAGGCGGTTGGGGTCCTCATAGACAGACACCACCTGGCTGTCAGTCTTCTCACTCAGCGCCGCCACCATGTCCACAAAGCCCTGGATCTTCACATCTCTGCATGGGAGACCAGCCTGCTTGGGGAGGGCTTCCTAGGCCCCCATGATTGGCCCCTCCCTGGCCCCACAAGGTGAATGGAGCTCCTGTCCCCTCGGGGCACAGCATGTTAGGCAAGTGCTTTTCTGGGGCGCTACACCCCAGCTGGCATTTTCCATCTTATCTCAGCCTCCTCTTCCGATGGTCACCTTGATCTGGCATCCAGTCCCGCCCTCCAGCTTCCTCTTATACCCTCCCTCCCAGCCCCTCAGCCAGCAGCCTGACCCCATCAGGACCCCTGGCTTCTGACTGCTGTCATTCCCGTCATCGTTTCTCCACCTCCCTCTCCAGCCAAGGTGGCGTCTCTGATGCTCTTGACCTTCATCTTGAGCTCCCTCCCTGGCCAAGCCCCAGCCCTGATCAGACCCAGGTTCTACACTATTCCTCCCTAGAACTCAAGTTACCCGGAGTAGTGGGAGAGGACCATGGCAGCGGATCCCTCTAAACCGCCACCCGGAAGAGGTCCTCAGCATTCCCGTCCAGCCATCCTGCTGGACCTGGAAGGGCGGTGAGCTGTCTTCGTACCTCGGGTCAGCATGACCATGTGCTCATCCTGCCGCCTGGGCTCCTACAGTGGCCATCCTCCTATCAGTCTCCCTTCTGCCAGGTCATTAACATCTCTGTCTCCCACCTTACAAGACAGCATTTGCTAGGAAGACCAGTGGAGGGGATATCCACCAGAGGTGGCTGGTGTGGAGTTGGGCAAACAGCACTTCCTGCCACAAATGCCAAGTGGCCATCAGCTCCTCCCATGGTGGTCAGAGTGCAGCAGTGTCTGCTCTGGCCTCATGCCTTTCATTTGTACCCTGACTTTCCACATGGCCAGAGCAACTGTGCAGAAGAACGCGCGATACTTCCCAGCCACTGTGTCACCAGGATCCTTCTCCCTCAGTGCACGGCCACACACATCCTGTCACCAGCCTGCCTGCAGGCCACTGGCACATGAGTACAAGTGGCTGAGGAGACTTCTGCACCCCCGAGCAGCAGGCAGCTTGGCCTGGGCAGCAGCTTTCCTCTCCCTAGGCCCTGGACCTAGCGAAGCTTGAGATGCCCCCCTAAGAGAAGCATTACAACAAGACAGAGGAACCAGGGCACCTAAATGCCAACAGGGGAAACTGCCACTTTCCCACATGCAGGCAGCCAGGAGACAGGTTCTTTACAGCACTGTTGCTGGGGTCTGGTATGGTACAGCTTTGCCCTGGTGCATGGGCTCAAAGGTTCTGTTTGGTTTGCCCTAAACTCACTGGCCTAGAGAGCCAGGAGCTCCTTGCTTTCTGCAACATCCATACCTCTTTTTCCTCACTGGATACCACTTGATGCTACCTGAGGCTTTATTCTTTGTGTGACACATCTTCTCCCCAAAACCATGGCTGGGGGACTGCTTCATTCACCAGTCCATCCCAAGCCTCAGTATTCAAGCATCTATGAGATGGTGGGGTCTTGGGGTAGGTGCAGACCACTGGGTAGGAAGAGTCTACTCCTGGGGTGACATCTAGCCATCTTTACCCACTTGCCCTACATACACAGAGAGGGTACTGGGGAAGAAGCCTGCCAGCGGCTGGAGGGCCTCTTACCTGTACAGGTACACCTCTAGCGGCATCTGAGTGCTGGGGGTGAAGATGCAGGGAGCTACCCGGAACACTACTGTGTCCTTGTAGACCGGGGTCTCTGGAATTGACTGCAACATAAGACAAGGTCCTGGAGGTGACCTGGCTCCACATTTCTTCCCCCGTCTCTGCACCCCTGGGTCTGCAGCTGTTCAGCCCAGGCCAGCATGGGTCCCACCGCCTTCCATATCCTTCTCTGGAAATCCTAACAGTACCATCTGTACCACCCCCCACCCCACCCCCAGCTCTGAGTGACACGTTCTCCTCCATCTTGTCTTCAGCCTAGGGTTGTCTTCTTGGTGACATACGGGGACTGGAGAATCTTCAATCAGGGAGACCGAGAAGGAGATCAGGCCTGTGAAGTTGGCAGATGGGAACTCTATCGCTTCCACGTAGAGGGTCTCCTTCCCAAGGTTCACCAGTGGGTTAAAGGTATGGGAGTTACAGCCGGGTCCCAGCACAATCTGAAAGGCGCCAGAGGTGTCTCCTAGGTCAAAGAAGAGGGACCATCAGCCACTGGAATAGCTGAGCTGCAGTGCCCACATCTGACAGCTGAGGGCACTGGCTTACTCTTTGGCTTAGATGCCAGGCAGAGCTTCAGGAGGGCAGAAGTGGAGTGATCTTCCTGCCTCAGCCTCCTGAGTGCTGGAATTACATGCATGTGCCACCATGGCTAGCAACATTGGGGAAGATTATAGCAAAGGCTAAAGGTGAAACACTGTGTGCAAAGATGGAGAGGTTTATTTGGGGCTATGTTTTTAGTCCATAGTTTGCCAGCTCCATGACGAGAAGGCATGGCAAAGGGCCTAAGAGGAGGAAAGCTGCAGACCTTGCAGTGGCCAGGAAGCAGAGGGTCAAGGGACGAGCCAGGAAGGGAGATTTAACCTTCCATGTCACACCCACAGAGAGACCCCCAATAGGGAGTTGGCTATGAAGCCCTGCAACCCAATCACCTTCCAAATATCACCCTATGATAGTGTGAGGCTTTGGGGGACATCTAGATATGAGCTACAGGGCCAGGGATTTAGCTCAGTGGTTCCGCTGCCTGTCTTGCCAGCGCAAGGACCAGAGTGCGATCCCCAGTATAAAACAACAACAACAACAGCAGCAGCAGTGGCAGCAGCAACAAAACCAAACATTTAGAAATGAGCTATAGCATTCTGTCCCGGCCCCCAAAATGCACATGCACAACTGTTTGGCAACTTAGAGATGGACTAAATGGATTTTGCATAAAGTCCTAATAGTTCTAGCATTGGTGAAAAGTCTAAGTCCAAAGTCTCTTCTGAGACTTAAGGCAAATTTTAGTTATGAGCCTCTGTAAAAAAATTAAATTAAATTAAATGCTGCAAACATACACAGGCACAGGGCGAACATACCCATTTTAAAAGAGAGCGAGTCCCTGCCAGTGCCTCTGCTTCCCGCTTCAGTTCTCCATGAGTGTGTTCCATGACACACTGACACACACGAGGAAACGCAGTGCCCTCAGCAGGCTCTGTGAATCTGTGGCCTCCAAGGTCCACTTAGCCTGGCCCATCCTGCCTCCAAGTTGCCCAGAGCTGGTGGCCTCCTGGGTCCAGAGTAGCCCTCATGTCCTGAGCCAGGCGGAACCACACATCTCTGAAGCTCACTCCAAGCCCACAGGTCTGCAGTCCACCCAACCTGAGCCGTCTTTTCCCAGGTCATGGTTCAGCTCTGACCCTCAGAAGAGCTGGAGAGGATGGCACGCTCAGGTGCCCTAGCACAAGTAGCTCTGATGCTGGCAAGAGATGGTCCCCTGTCCAAGGACAGACACTGTGAGCCATAGCCCTCCACTGCCCTGCTGAGGCTAAGTGTGGCTTTAAGAGAAAGTGGCACACTGCTGGATGCCTCCAGGAGCCAAGAGTTAAATCTCAAGTTGAGAAACTTCAAGGTATCAAACTAAGCCAGTTAAGGGAAGTCAAGAGACTCTGAGTGTTTACCCAGAGTTGGACTGCCCATCTTCTGAACCAGCAGCCCTCCAGCATGGTACCTGCCTGCAGAGAGATGGCCAGGGGACGGTGTGGTTGCTGGGATATAGGGGCCATTGTGATAGCCATGCTGGCTTCTTGGCCTCTGAATTCTGGAAATTTAATATCATGGGGCCTGGGAGGAGTTCCTCCAGCAGGAGTTATTGGGAAGGAACATCACCTCTTGGTATAGGCCCTTCTCGCCTCCCAGGTACGAGGACCCTGCAGAATAGGTGCCTCACCATGCGGCAAGTAGACTCTGGCCTTCTCGGCCTCTTCCTCAGAGGTATGAAGGACCAGCTGATAGTTCTTTAAAGCAGAGGTGGGGCCTTGGACAGTCAGCGTCATCTGGGACAGGTCCTTTATATCTGAGCAAAGGACAAGGCAAAAGTTCAGGCTCCAGGGAGGGTAGGAGAGCACCTGCAGAGTCGGGGTGGGGGCTTGCACGAAGGAGGACTGAGGACCCCTGTCTCTGCTCTGCTCCCTACACAGCCAGAGGCAAGTTACAACCCCAAGTACCCTTTTTTTTTTTTTTTGGTACCAGGGATGAACTCAGGTCCTTATGCTTGCACAGCAGGCAGTGAAACCACTGAGGTAAATCCCCGGCCTTAGCCCAGGTATCCTTTCAAGTGAGGATGCCATTTACCTGTCGTCCCCAAGAACACGTAGAATGGGACTTGACATGCTCAGTTCGGCAAGGGCTCACCTCCAGCCTTGGTATGAACCCAGACATTCATCGCTACTGCCAGACCAGAATCCCAACCCCAAGTCAAGACCAGACACGCTGCTTTTGCCTAAGGTAGAAGTGTCCCCGTCCCAAGCTTGCCAGAAGGAAGCATCTTTATGGCACTCACTGTTTTATATCTTCAGCCTCAACCACCCAGTGAAGCCATCTTGTCCCCATGTCACAGATGGAGAAAGACCAGGGAAGTTAGTGTGCTCAAGTTCACAGCCAGAAAGTTATTGTTAGCTGACACCATGAGACAATGGGGCCCCTTTCTTCCCAGGTTCACAGCTTCATGGCACAATTTTTTTTATTATTCCTGTTGCTGGGGATGGAGTCTGGACCATCATGCAGTGCTAGGCAAGTGTTCTACCTCCAGCTGACAAAAGATTTGATCAAACTGGGTATGGGTGTGGCACATGCCTGTAATCCCAACTCTGGGAGGCTAAGGCAGAAGGATTCTAAATTTGAGCCCAATCTGGGCAGTTTACAACTCAGCAAGATCCTGTCTCAAAAATAAATTTTAAATAAGGGCTGGAGAGCCAAGTGTAGTGGTGCACAGCTGTAATCCCAGCACTCAGAAGGCTGACGCAGGAGGATCACCATGAGTTCAAGGCCAGCCTGGGCTACATAGTGAATTCAAAGCCAGCCTGAACTACATAGCGAGACCCCACCTCAAAAAGCCAAAAAGAGTTGGGGATGTTTCTCAGTGCTAAGGCCCTAGGTTTAATCCCCAGTTTAAAAAAAGACGATAAAAAGGATTTGATCAACCCAGAGGGGGATATTGGCCTACAGTCTGTGTTTGCTGAAGGGTAGACAGGCCCAGAGTAGGGAAAGATGGGGAGAGCTGAGGTCCTACCTTCTGACAACACAGTCTTTGTGTCCTGGTTCACTTCAGCAGGGCTGCAGTTCACAAGCAGGATGGCCCCCCATCCAGTTGGGCCCCAGAGCCACTTTTCCTGCAGTGATAGGAACTTAGGCGCAGGAAGAAACCAGTGAACCCTGCACTTTCCAGATACCACTGCCCACCAGGGAGCAGAACCCAGCCTTTCTCCAGGCCCTGGGGACCTCTGGACAGTTTGAGGTAAAGAATCTATAGGAGCATGAAGGTTACGCTGAGCAGGCAGCCCAAGAGTGAAGAGAACAAAGCTAGATACCGGTTACGGGCTGCCAGTCCCCTAGCTTGTTTCAGTGTTGGGGAAGCAGGGACAGGAGAGAAATGATGGTGACACCTGATGCTGGCAGCGAACCCTGTCCTAGTGGACCACATGACTGCCCTATGGATGGGAGCTAGTCATCCTAGCCTTGTGTGCCCTGGATGTGCTAGCTTTTGAGCAAGCCAGAAATTCCAGTCTTCACTTGTAGTGCAGCAGTTCGACTTTAGATACCCAGAAGTTCAGCAAAAAAGCGGGCCTGCATCTCAGCCCACCCCACACTCTCTCTCATGAGCAGCCTCACCTTCATCTGCTTGTTGAGTGGCATCTCCTGTTGCCCATCACGGTAGATATCCGTCTTCAGGGAGACCTCTGAAAAGGGGATGGCAGGGACTCAGTCACCTAGACTGCTGTACAGGCCCGGAAGATCTGGGCAGTCTTCAGCAGATGCCCAAGGCTGGAACCAGGGCCATCAGCCTGCTGGTGAGCAGTGGGAACAGAAGCAGGGAGTGTCCTCCAGGACAGGCCATTTCTCATGAGCGAGCCTGGGGGAGCCCAAGTGTTCACCCCGACTGCCTGGGAACTCCTCAGCCCAGCCCACTGGTCATGTCGCCCTCTTGTCCCTCTCTGCTTCTTCCCAGGCCGGTCCTACTTGGAAAGCCTCCTCCACAGCCCTTGGGAAAGGCCTGTGTACTCTAAGACATACACACAGGAGGCTCCCTGCACAGCAGTTCCCAACCCCAGAGAACTTAAGCATTCAGGCTTTTGCCCAGAGAATCATTGTAGAGGCTGCCCTGGCTGCTGGGGATCCTACCTCCCACTCCACTTTCCCACACCTGACACCCTCTGGCTTCATCAGAGTCCTTTGTTCCCAGATCTTGTCACCTGCAATACTATTTCCCACCTGGAGTGTCAGGGCCAGGAGCAAAGAGCTTATTGGCAGCTGCAGCCTCAGCACCCAGCTTGCAGGTGCTCAGGGACCCAGTATTCACTCCAAGCCTGGCTCTTCTGAGTCCCAAGATCTAGCAGAGTTTGAGTCAGGGGCCCCTTCCTGGAACATGCAGTGTGTAAGTGTGCACAGGGGTGGACAAGAACACATTACATCCTATCATAATAAATGCCATGGGAAACGGGGAAGAAGGCAGGGTGTTTCAATCTTGGATAATAAGGGAAGCCTTCTAAGTTAAAATTTTAACAGAGACCTTAAGGAGCCAAGAAAGGATCCTTGTTAATATCTAGGGTAAAAGCCACTAGGAGGAATAAGAAGTACAAGGTTCCAAGTTCAAGTTTGAAGAAGCTAATAGTGCCTACAAGGGGAGAGTAACTTGCCACACCATAGCAATTATTACGAGGTACCCAAGGCGACTTCAGGGCTGCAGCCTGGACAGCTAGGAGATGGAGCCACCACCTGCTGTGATAGGGAGATGCCTAGAATAGGTTGGGGGTAAAAATCAGCTTAAAATAGAACCCGGAAACAATGGTGGATGACGCCCGGCCAGAGACAGCACTGGGAAGTCTGTAGGGGAATGCATAGAACCACGTAGGCCTGAAACTTCACGCAGGAGCTGGGAGATGGAGGCCCAGAGAGGCCCCAGAAGGGGTCCAAGGTGCTCAAGGGGGACGCCAGGTGTGCTGGCTACTGCCAGGCAGGGTAAAGATGGAGCGGGTGACCAGTTCAGAGAAGAAGTCGTAGAGTCCCAGGACTGGTAGTGGCAGGTATTGGGTTTGAATAGATTCAAGGGAAAAAAAGGGGGATTTGAGGACACACAGATGTTCCCCAAGGAAAATGGTGGAGAGTGAAGTTCAGAGGTAGCAGAATTGATTTGAAGATAGTGGATGTTTTAACTTGTTCCCGGGCTGGTGGGACTGGGCCAGGAGAGAAGCTGGAAGGGTAGCAGCTTCTTTCATCAGCAGTAATTACAGTGACAGAAAGAAGTGGGAGGTAGGTGTCAGACACGAGCAGGTGGACAATGGAGCAAGGTGTGAAGGGCTGGCTACCTCCATCCTCAGAAAATTAGGTCAGCAGGCCAGAGGATGGGGAGAGAATGTTCGAGGAGTCTCCAGCGAGTCCTTTCTGGGACCCAAGAAGGAGTCTTTTGGGGAGAGCCCCTCAGAGCTCCTCCCACTCGGCACCCCGCCGCCCAGAGTGGAGACTCACCGATGCCTGTGAGGTACAGCACTGCTGTGGCCAAGGGGGCCTCCTCGTAGGGGCAGTAGTATGAGACCAGCACCTGTGGAAACAGGGCCCAGAGCCCACAGGGCATGGTGGGGGTGAGCAGAGCCCTAGGTCAGACAGGTGTTTTTGTTTTAGAGACAAGTACTGCTAAATTGCTCAGGTTGGGCTCAAACTTGTAATCTTCCTGCCTCAGCCTTCCAGAGTCCTGAGATTACAGGGGTTCAGCCCCATACCTGGCTCCAGCTTTATTTTTAAGGCTCTCGATGCAAATTGTTCACCAAAAGAACTGAGAGGTTTCATATCTTGCCATACCCATGCCTACACCGTCAGTGGCACTTGTGATTGTTTAAATTTCTTAACACCAAACACCATGCATATAATAGCCTCTCCAAACCTGATATTTGGGCTTACAGCTTCCCATCCAGGTGGGTCTCTATCCCCTAAGGAGCCAGCCTGTCTGGCACTAGAACCCTAGCTCAAGCCACATGAGGGTCTCTGCTAGCTCAAGCTGCCCACTAGAGAGGCAGTGGGCACCCAGGGTGGGGAGGGGAATTGGAGCTCCATTTCCTGCATCATGTAGCAGCCTCTCCTTCTGGGGGCCTCTGTCCATTAGGGACCTGCCCTTCAGCCCTGGCCCAACTACCAGGTCTTCATGAACCAGAGACCCAGCAACCAACAAGGGCCACCTTCCTGTGTGTGATCTCTTCCTGTCCCTACACGGGAGTCTGTCCTCTAAGGTCAAGGGTCTCAGTCTGTGTCCACCATACTGGTCCTGGAGGCTGAGCTCTGGGCAGAGAATGGGTTTTGGGTGGCCTGGGCCCAGCTGGGACCCATTACAGCCTCAGATCCCATCCATGAAATGCTCAGTTCTCACCTCAGCACACTGCTTGTCTCTCTGGGAATTGCCTGCCCTGGGCACGGGTCTCAGACATTGCAATTCATGGCATCTAGCATGTACCATGCATTCAATACTGGTCACCTCTAACTTCATTTGAGATTTCCACACCCTCTTTTCCTGAGCCACAATGCCCATCTTTAGGCCAGACTTGACAGCACAGACTGGGAGCCAGCACAGCACCCCGAGGGTCCTGCAGCTCAAACCTGCACTGCCAATTACTGGCTTGGACACAGCACTCCCTCCCTGGGTGCCTCAGTTTCTCCATCTAGAAAAGGGGTCACACAGCACCACCTCATGGGGTCATGGCAGGCAGTAAATGAAATCAGACATGCATGGCTCTCATGGTTCCCAGACTCTGGATGGTCAGAGCATCAGGGCAGAGGGTGGTGGCACCGCCTGCCACCTCCCCTCTCCCCAGGCTCACCTTGTCCTCGTCCACGACAGAGCTGGGAAGCACCATCATCACCAGTGCGCTCATGGGCTCGGACAGCGGGTGCCAGATGGAAGTTTTGTCCCTCCCGCTGGTCACCTGGCTCTTCAGGACAACCAGCACCTTCGGGGAGCAGGTGAGCATGAAGGAGTCACACTTCTTGGGGGCACACCTGGTTTACCAGCAGGAGACAGACATCAGGGCACAAAGGGCCTCCACCTGGGCAGCCTGGAGGGTGGGAGGGGCTGGGGCCGGGGCCGGGGCCCTGGCCCTGGCCCTGACCCTGACCCTGGCCCCATCTTCTGTGGAACTGGCCAGGAGCCTGCAGGCCAGGGCTGGTTTGGGGTCCTGACCCAACTCAGCCTTCTGCCACCCCTCCAAGGCCCCTGTCCTCCCTCCAATGAGTTCCAGCCAGACCCCATCTTCCCAGAGATTCTTGAAGCTACATTTTGCTTCTAAGCAACCAACTCCAAGGCAGGAAGGAGGACCATTTATTTGTCAGAGCTCCCCTGTTGGGGGAAAAAGACAGGATGGGGGCGCTGTAGTTTGTGAGGTGACTCCGGGGGAGATACTGGCTGCTGGGACCAAGGCTTCCTTACCTGCTCTTCCTGGAGGGCTGCTTTGCCCTTGTCACATGCAGAGGGGACAGAAGCCAAGGCCCTTACCCTCCTAGGGCACAGTGTGTACCGGGCAGGGGCAGAGTTTAAGGCCGAGTCCTTCAGAGGGACTACAGGGGCCTCTAGAGACCTAAGCCAGGCCCCGAAGCCTGGGCAGACCTGGTAGACGAAGCCCCAACTGGGGAGCCAGGTGCCAGTGCCCTGCCCCCCATCAAGCAAGCCCAAAGGAGGCCCCAGAGCCTCACCCGCTGATGTCCACGACAAGGCAGGAGCCTAGCACACACACAGCATGGACGGGGCTGTCCAGGGAGAGCTGGACCACACTCTGCAGGGACATAGTGCCTCCTTCCCCGCCAACCACCTCAGGCCCTGCACCGGAACGCCGCCTAGGAGCCTCAGCTGGGCTGGCGCCCACCCTGATATGGGGTTGAGGCCTCTCCAGCCCGCCCCCTTGTTAACGCCTGGGTGGCTTCAGCATCTGCCACGTGTGACTGCTCTTCTCCACTCAGGCCTCCCAGTGGCTGTGGGTGGGCGGTGGCGGCGGCAGCGGTGGTGGTGTGTGAGACCCCTTCATTAGCATCTCCTGCCTGCACTCCTGTACACCTTGGAGGCAGAGGCCGATTGCCAGGGTAGCTGGTCTTCAGGAGGAGCCAGAGGGGCTCTGGGAGCTGGTACTTGGGTGGCCAAGGTGCTGGAGGACTCAGCTGGAAACTGTCAGGGGCAAATCTCTGCAGAGGGCCATTGGGGGCTGGGGTCAGGAGGGCTCTCGGGTAGGCTCTGGGGCCTCTGTTCTAGGGTGTGTGTCTCCAGGAAATTGATGAGGGGAGCTTGGAAATGTGCTGGATCTGTGCTTCTCAAGGCTATAGTGGTTGCAAAGATTTTCAGGGATGCTAGGTGTGGTGGTGCATGTCCGTTATCTCAGCATTAGGGAGGCTGATGCAGGAGGATCATGAGTTCAAGGACAGCCTGGGATACGTTGCAAGAGCCCAGTTTAAAAAAAAAAAAAAAATCAGGAGAGTTTGTTAACACTGTGAAGCCTGGGGCCTGACCGCTCCCAGGTGTGGTCCTCTTCCCAGGTGATCAAGGTGCTGTGGTTGCTCACAGCTGTGACACCAGCTGGGGGCTCGTATCCAGGGAATGAAGGAATAGAGGGGGCGCCCTGCGAGCCTGGCTCACCAGTGGTTGTCTATCTTTACTAAGCCCACAGAACAAAGACGTAGTCCTGCATATTTCAGAATTGCTAAAACACACCATTCATGTGCTCACCACGAGAAATGAACTGGTGAAGCAATGGAGATGATTACTGACTCGATTGATTTTCTATAATGTACACATAGGCCTAGACGTCGCATCTTGCTCCGTAAATATACATAAGTATTTGTCAATCAAAAGAAGAAACTCATGCTCCTGCACAGGGAATTTACCCAACTTACTTCAAAACAATGATCATTTTATATCTTAGGTTTGAGTTAGGGTTATTTTTGAATCGGTGCCACATTCATGTGGTTCTGAATTCAAAAGTAAAAGGAGCCACAATGAACAGTCACCCTGTGCCTTCCCATCTGCTGTGGAGGCAGTTGGTGTCACCTCTTTTTTTTTTTGGTACTGGGGATCAAACTTGGGAACTTTCGCTTTCGAGGCAGGCAGCGGAACCACTGAGCTAAATCCCCGGCCCCATTGTGTCTTTTGAAATAAATGTCCTTCCTGCATGACAAAGCAAATGTATGCGTATAGCCTTTCCTTTTTTTTTTTTTTTTTGGTACCAGGGATCAAACTCAGATCCTTGCACTTGCACAGCAGGCGGCAAAACCACTGAGCTAAATCCCCCGCTCCATCTTTCCTTTTTAAAGACATAAATAGTATTGCATGCTAAGGAGCATTCCTTACCTTGCTTTTTTCCCCTAAGGAGCATTATGCTTTTTGATGGAGGATCAAACCCAGGGGTGCTCTACCACTGAGCTACGTCCCCATCCCTTTTTATTTTTTATTTTGAGTCAGGGTCTTACTAAATTACTACACTGCGGAGGCTGGGCTTGGATTTGCAATCTTCCTGCCTTAGCCTCTGAGTAGCTGGGATTACAGGCGTGTTCCACCACACCCAGCACAGTTATCCTTTCTTCTGGCTGTGTCATGCACAGAGCTGTACCACGATGTATGTGAGCATTTCTCCAGGCCTTTTGCTTCCTGTCACTGCCAGGTCACCTGTATGTTATAAGCCCAGGGGCCAGAGGTTGACCGAGCTTGTTAGGTTCAGGATTTTTAGTGAAAAATCCCCTCTTTAGTGGGTGGATGGGTTTAGGCTGTGGGCTCAGCTGATGCTGTTTTTGTTGCTCTTGGAGGCAGGGGCTGGCCAGGAAGTCCCTTTAAACACCTCTGGTTGTGTCGAAAGCTGCAAATTCAGCAGGGGGAGGCACTCAGTGTGTGCTGCTCCGTGGGCCTCCCTACTCTGCACAGGTGGAGGGGAGGGCCAGTGGGGAAGGGTTGCTGGGCTGCCCAGGCACAGCCTGAAGGACAGAGTGCCCCGGCTGGCTCCCTCAGGGGATTCCTGTCCACCCCTGAGGCCTCACCCCCCGGAGAGAGCCCTGAACACAGTGGGTGCTGGCCAAGTTCTTAAGGAGCAATGACCTCTCTGCTGCTCCGGATAACCCCGTGGGCTCCATGTGCGTCAAGTGAACCCACAGGGATGTGATGAACAAACACCCAAGCTCCTTAGTCCTGATGGCAGGCGTGTTGCTGTCCCTCAGCCACACAGTAACACTGGCTCATCACACTTAGGTCCTCCAAAGTCCTGTGTCACTTTAGGGCACTGTGGTGGCCACCAAGTCCCCTCCAGCAGGGAGGCACATGTTCCCCCAGCTGCTGCCAGGCAGGCTTCGGGTTGCTCAGAGCAAGCCCAGATTCTCCTGCAATTGCCTTCTTTGCATGGCCCCTCCAGGACAGCTATAGCCGAGTTAGAGACACAGGCCAGGCTGCTGCTTTGGATTCAGGACCACACCGTGGGCTTCCCAGCCCCAGAGCCCCTCCCAGGATTGCCCAAAGGCTTTGTGGTGACTGCACCACGGGGCAGCTCCCTGCCTGGGCCCCTACCCTCTCAGGTGTGTTCCTGAGATGTCCTCCACCCCCCACCAAAGCTCCTGCTGGCTGGTCTCCATCCCACTGTCTATTTCTGGGAGCCAGACCTAAAACAATCACCAAACCATTTTAACTCAGAACTTTGAAAGGCAAAACTCAGTTTTATTAAGTTGGGTCTTCTAAAGCATAGCAGGAGAAGCCTAGATTTTCGTCCTCTATTCTGCCTTTTCTTTCCCTATTCCATCTGCAGAGGGAATGATGGCTATAAATATGGTATGTCAAAGTCACCTTAAAAGATACCAGTCCCATGAAGATTTCGGGTCCACCCACAGAGATGTCAGGTCCTAGCTCCTGAGCCTGTGAATGTTGCCTGGAAGATAAAACAAGTCTTTGCAGAGGTGGTAACGTTGAGGACCCTGGGATGGGGAGATTACCTCAGGCCACCCAAATGGACCCAAATGTCATCACAGGTGTCCACGCCAGCAACAGGTAGATGGAGATTTGCTGTACCCAGAGGAGAAGCAATGTGACCACAGGGACAGAGACTGGACTGAAGTTGCTACCAGGACCCAGAAGGGGCAAGGGACAGATTGCCCTGTGGAGCCTCACAGCCCTGCTACCCCCGGCTTCCAGCCCAGTGAACTGATTTGGGACTTCTGGCTTCCAGAATTGTTCAAGGATCCATTTCTATGGTTTTAAACCACCTAGTTTGTGGTAATGTGTTATAGCAGCAGAGGGAACTCTGTGGTCTCTGGTGACAACAGAAGGAGCACAAGACTCAGGGAACAGGGAACAAGTTCTTGCTAGATAGTGTAAAAATTGGAGGCACCATACAATGCAGAGTTTGAGAAAGAAGCAATTCATGCAGTGGGGTGCATCAAATTGAATATGGCTTGATGTTCCAATGACAGAACAGCAGAAGCAAGTATTAGGAAAATACAGAAGCAAAAGAAAAATTAATTTGCTCTGTTGTAACAGCACTGTCCTTTTTAGGTACTTTGTTGGGAAGGCCCTAGTCACATAATCATAGGTTGGCTACTTACAATTGGCTGGGGGTTAAATTTTGTTTCTAATATAAACATGATCAGAAATGACCCAAGTTTCTCTTAGGTTTGCAAATGGAGTGAGGATGAGCCCACTGGTCAGGGCCATCAGCTCTGTCTGTCTGGGATTTTGCACACCCTGGGTCTGTTTGGTTTACTTTAGCAACAGGCACTGTCATGGGCAGCCCTATGCTCTTTGGGGCTGGTGAGGTTTCCTCCTGTGGGCTCCCCTGGCCCCTCAGAGCTGCCGCCCAGTGCCCAGACAGCTGGGCCACGTCTGGAGATTGCAGGAGCTGGTTACCCATGAGCTTATCTCCCTATCCTTCTGCAGCCCCGGGGGTCCACCAGAACCCCTGCTCTTATCTGCTGAGGCCCCAGGGCTGCTCCGTGGCCTCACACCCACGTGTGCGTGGCCTGTGGTCCTCAAGAAACCTGTGCACCCTCTGCCTGAGCAAATGCTGGGCAGGGGAACAGCTGGTTCTCATGAGAGGCTTGTTTTTAACTCAGGTTTAATTGATTCTTAGTGGGCAGGGCAGGGCAGGGCAGAGGCTTTACTTTTTTTAAAAGTTTCACTTTTTATTTTGGTTAAAAAAACCCCAACACCTAACAAGTTTATCACCTTCACCTTTTTTATAGTGAGTGCATGGTTTAGTAGTGTCCAGTACATTCGCATTGCATCATTATGAGTCACATCTCCAGTCCTTTGTATCTTGCAAATCTGAAACTGAAGCCATTCCTTAACTCCCCTCTCCTCCCTCCCTCAGCCCCTGGGAACCAGCACTCTGCTTTCTGTTTCTGTGACTTTGACTGCTGTGGACACATCATCCTGTAAGTGGAATTAGACCATACTTGGCCTCTGCTGGCTTGTTCCACTCAGCATAAAGCCCTCCAGCCCAGTGAGCTTCAAGGATGGCCTGCCTGCTGGGATGCATTCTGCAGCATGAGCGGAGGGTTCTCCTGCCCATCCTCACCGGCCCCCTGTGCTCTCTGCAGCCTGCAAAGACAGAACAAAATCTCTGGGGCTCTCAGGAGCCAGAGATGGTCTCAATTTTACAGAGCTGTCAGAAGCCCTAAAGACAACACCCAAAAAAGACAGCGGAGACAGATTACAGGCTGAGTAATCTTCATCCAAAATGCTTGGCACCAGACACGCTTTTGGTTTCAGAGTTTTTTGGGTTTTGGAATATTTATAGATTTTATCAGTGGAGCATCCCCTAATCCAAAAATCTAAAATACTCCAAAACCTGAAGCTTTTTCAGTACTAGGGATGTAACCCATGGCCTCCTGCGTGCCAGGCAAGTGTTCTACTACTAAGCTATGCCCCCAGCCCTGATTATTTTTCTTCTGTTTTGTTTTGTGTTACTAGGGATTGAACCTAGGGCCTTCGCACTGAGCTATATCCTCAGCCCTTTTTTATTTTCAGACAGGGTCTTGGTAAGTCATTAAATTGCCCAAATGGGCTAGAACTTGGGATCCTTTTGCTTCAGCCTCCCTTGGTATTGGGATTACAGGTGTGTGCACCACCATGCCCACTTTTGTTTTGTTTTTTTATACAAGATCTTGCTAAATTCTCCAGCTGGCCTTAAACTCATGATCCTCCTGCCTCAGCCTCTTGAGTGCTGGGATTACAGGCTATTGGACCTTGGCACGCTCTTTAAGACCATCTGACCACCATGCCAGGCTTGTTGTCTTCTCTTTTTGGGGGGTACCGGAGATTGAACTCAGGACCTTGTGCTTTTGAGGCAGGCATGGCGCCACTGAGCTAAATCCCCAGCCCCTGTTGTCTTCTTCTTAAAGAACAACATGAATGGAAATATAGTTCTTAGATGCCGCCTTTGCTCTCAGAATTTTTTTTTTTTGACTTCTTTTTTATTTTTCTTTGGTACTCAGGATCGAACTTGGGTCCTTCCGCTTGTGACGCAGGCAGTGGAACCACTGAGCTAGATCCTCAGCTGCCCTCAGAATTTTGTCAGCACCTCACTGGGGTCTCCTGAGAAGCCTGAGGCCCTATGACTTTGCTCCCTGCTACCGGCCTTGATCTTCCTGCTCATAGATCTCTGCAATCCAGTCTATTTTTAATGATAATTTCATGTTGTGTTATGAAACACACACTGAGGAATATACATTAGAGATAAAGGGTGCTCACCCAGTGGCTGTTTGGGAACAGATTTCAATGTGGCTCTATAAAGGGAGGCACTGGCACCCTTGGGGCTCAGCCTTTCCTTTTCTCTCTTTCGGGTTTGGTTCTGTGGGAAGCTCAGAACCAACTAGATCAATCATGCAAGGTTTATAGACTGAATAAATGCTCGGGGCGGGGGACAAAAGGCTTATGCAGTAACACTGGCTCTGACCCATCCTGGTGGGACTTTTGAGATTGTAAACATCAATTCCTCTATGACAGATGAGCAAATGAATGGATGACAGGAATGTGACCTCATGTACACTGATTAAAAACATCTTTATTACAGCTTCTCAGTGCAGGGCTCAGTTTGCAATGCTGGGACCAATTTGGGGAGCACAGCAGGGCCCAGAGGGGACCGGGAGGAGGCAGCGAGCCTCTGCTGGAAGCCTGGGTGCCTGGAGAGGCCAACAGGGCAGCTGGCTCAGGGCACCATGTGCCACCACTTGAAGGTGAAGGGCTTCCGGCGCACATTGGTGCCGCAGTGCACCTCCCCGTGGCGCATGTGGTAGCTGTAGTAGTCGTCAATGAAGGTGCAGTGGAGGCCCAATGGCTGCAGCAGTGAGCGCACCTTCTCCTCCAGGCAGCAGCGGCCGCTGATGATGGGCCCAAAGGGCTTGGGGATGCCCACATGCTTCCCTAGCACCAGCATGTTCACCTGCAGAGAAGTGGGGCTCAGCTCACAGGCAGCAGGGCACAACTTACACCGCTGTCCAAACATTCCCACCTTCCTCTGACCTCCAGTAAAAATGGCCTCGTTTTACAGAGGTGGAAACTGAGGTCCAGATAGGTAAAACTGGTCCTCCAAGGCCACCTGGATAGCGTAGGATTTTCATTCAAGTCTGCTGGACTCCAGGGCCATGCTTTTAATACCACCCTGTCCTTGATTGCTACCTTCTGGTAAGGGCCAGCTCTAATTCGAGTCCCTCTGTAGAGGTGCCCACAGATCCCTGAACGGTGAAAACCAGTCACTTCCCCTCCACGGCGCCCTGCCTCCCAGCATGCTGTCTGCACACAGTAGGTGCTTACTAAACACCTGCTGGATGGAGGAATGGATGCCACCTCTGTCGTAGGACTTTCTGCATCGTATGACTCCCATAAAGGACTTTCTTTCCAGGTGAGGGCTAGGGCTGCAAGCCAGTATTTGTCTACACCCCAGCTACTCTCCTCAACAGCTGTGTGACCCTGGGTACCTCTCTGATCCCCATTAACAAGATGAGCCCAAATGTCCATTGCTATGACAGTTAGCTAAGAGTAGATATGCATAGATCGGTGCCAGTGCTGGCACATAGCAGGTGCCCAGGCAGCCTCCATGGGTCATGAGTCCCAAGGGCTTCTTCTGTCACTGCTCAGACACAGCCATGGCAAGTGCCCTGCACATTTGGTCTCTGCCTGCTCCCCTCCCTGACCCCAGTTCTCCCCCACAGGGTCCTGGGAGGCTCCTTTCAGGGGCCTCTGGCATAGTCAGCCCTCATGTGGCAACCACTTTCTTGAGATACTTCATCCCCTGCCCATCAGCTTCGACTTTCCTTCCTGCACCTGGAAGCTGGTTCAGCTAAACTGGACAGGAAATGAAATGCTTGGAACCAAGGAATCTTATTTGGGGTTTAAGGTAGAGGCTGTACTTCCCTCAGCTTCCTTCAGGCAGAGGAGGCCTTCATTCTAAACAAAATCCTCTGCAGAACCTCAATCTGGGAAAAAGAAAACCCGAACCACCAGGTTTGAGGCACTGCCTTGGGACCCCAGGGCTCTGGGGAGCCCAGTTTGCAAACCACTGTGCTAGGGACTGCTGGTTCCTCCCTGCACTGTAACCCCAGGGTTCCAGAAGGACTAGGCCCAGAACAGACACAGGAACCGTAAAATGATAGTACCTGGGGTCACAGCCAAGAGTTCTCAACAAAGGTGTGCGCCCTTTGGAAGGCTGAGTTCAGCCCCACCTCCGAGGGGTGTCCCAGAGCCCCAGGCTGGGGTGCTGCTCCAAGAGGTCCCTCTGTGCCCTTAACATGGCTTTTCTCCACCCAGTCCCCCAGCAGGCGGCAGTGCCCTGGCTAGAGCTCGGGTTCTGCAGCCGGACCCTGGCTTTGAGGCCACCTCCAAATCCTGTCCCTCACCAGCCAGCTGTGCTGTGTGCCAGAGGCCCCACCTCCCTGCGCCTTACCTGGAAAGGGGAGGAACCCACAGACCTGACTTCCAGCAGGGCTGGGAGATCTCAGAGGGGCTCCAGAAGCTGAATAGGGTCCTACGGGCCCTTCTAAACTCCTCCTGACTGTGCCCCAGGGTAATGCCCTTCCAAAGGGCTGGGGGACAGCTGCACCTCCTCACCATGTTCGGGAAGAAGGCCTCGGCCTTGAGGGCCCCTCTGCTGTTCCCTATCAGCTTGAAGAGCTGCGGGATGTCGATGATATCGCCCTCGGCCAGGCCCAGCTCACGCTTCAGCACCTCTCGGTTCCAGTCGATGCAGCTCTGGGCGGAGGCAGAGGGAAGGACCAGGACGGGGTGGGTGGGAAGTAGTGTCAGGCGGCTGCCAGGCTTGCGGGCACAGAGGGCCATTGGCCAGCTCTCAGGGGACCTCGTGGGCCTCCCCTCCAGCTCTCTGCTCCCCGCTCTGTGGCAGCCCATGAGGACTCCTGCCTGTCCTGGCCTCGAGTCCCAGGGGTGGTGGCTGGGCAGAGTCTCAGGTCTCAGGTCCGGCACCCCCCGGGCTCAGTACCTCCGCATAGGAGTTCTGTTCTCTCAATTTCTTGTTTGACAAAATGTCCTTTATTCTCTGCTGTTTTTGCTCTGTCATGTAAAAAAAAAGAGAGAGAAAAAATGCAAATGAATCCAGCAGCTTCCCTCTCCTTCGTCGTGTGCTGTGCAGGGGACTCTGTGGACCTATCTGTGAAATGGGGCGGCAATAGTCCCTCACGTTCAGGTTTGCTGTGAGTGTAGCAAATGTGTGTTCTCACTAAAAATCTTGTTTTCATCCGCTAGATTTCTCTTCTCGCCCTAGAGATCGAGTTTAGAAAGGAGAAGACATCAGTGGGGGTGCGGCCAGTGGCAGAGCGCTTGCCTCAATGCCAATGAAAGAGTGAAAAGGAACAGAGACAACAAACTGGGAGTCGGGGCAGACCGGTCTTCCTGAGACACACTTCGCACCGCCACTTATTAGGTGGAAACACTCAGCCGAGGAGGCGCCTTCACCTCCGACTCAACTCGTTCCTGTGGACTTTATGGAGGAATATTTCATGCATGCTTGTTGTCCTGCCTTGGAGACTTCATGTGCACTGTGCACTCTGTGTGCAGCACCTCAGTCCTCTCCTTGATGCCCATCTGCCTGCAGGTGCTGCTTAGGCTTCGGGTGCCTCCTCCAGGAAGCCTTCCCGGAACCCCCCACCCCGCAACCCCAGGCAGATGGGGTGCCCAGACTGAACAAGGAGAAGCAGCTTACTCTTGACTCCTTCCAGCAACAGCACTTCCCCGTGGCCCTGCCGCTGCTGCTCCTCCAACAGGTGGTAGCAGGCCCTGGGGCTGGCCAGTAGCAGCCGGAAGCCCTGGGGGCCAAGTGCTGCATCAGAGGGGGCTGGGCCCAGGGCTCCCCAGGAAAGGCTGCTGCGCCTGGACCCCCACCCAAGGGAGAAGCAGAGTTGGGTGGGAAATGTCGGGCCCAGCTGTCCTGGGACCCAAGGGCCATGAAGCTTCCCCACACTGTACCTTCCTGTTGGGCGCCGGCACAAAGCTCAGGAACTCATCCACGTGGCCCACGAACAGCCAGTCGGAGTAGAGCTGCACGGGCGCCTGCACCCCCTGCGCTGCCAGGAAGTCCCACAAGGCCCGGTGCATCTCCCGGCTCCCCTTGCTGCCAGCAGGGCAAAGGGGTATTATTTGGGGGAGGCAAAGGGGGTCCCAGGGGCTTGTAAAGGAGTCAGGGTTCTCTTCCAGTGAGGGAGGGGATGCAGGAACCTGGAATGCCTTCACCATGTCCCTTCCCACGTGAGAAATTTAGGGACTGTCATTCCAGTTCATTGAGGGGAAACTGAGGCACAGTCACTCAGGTAGAGAGGACCAGAGCCTAGCATCACAAAGCACAGCCTGTTGAATCATCCTAGATGCCAGGGTAAACATGGGATTTGCAGCTGATCCAAATTGACTGAGTTGGTGCCCCCTGAGTTGATGACCCCTTATTAGCTGTGTGGTCTTGGGGACATTCCTTCACCTCTCTGCGCCTACATTTTCTCCTGCAAGTCCCTCTGTGTTTCAGCTCCTTGCTCTTTCTCTTGCTTAATCTGTTCCAGCCACATGGCCTTCTTGAACTTGCCAAGCCCATTCCTGCCCCAGGGCCTTTGCACATGCTCTGTCAGATCCCAGAACCTCACATGGTCTTGTCATCAAGCCTTTCCCCAGAGAGGTCTTCTCTGCTCATGCTAATATAAGTCCCACACCTCTTCTACCCTTTTCTTTTTTTGTTTTCTTCACTATTTGAAATCACCTGATTTGTTTACTTTACTATTATCTGTCTCCCCCACTAGCATAGTGGCAGGGACTTATCTGTCATTCATAGCTGCATCCCCAGCTCCTAGCACATAGTAGATGCTCAGTAAATATTCACTGATGACTGACTGCAAGTGACAGACCTGGAACTTAAACTTGGGTCCACTGGCCTCCAAAGCCTGGATACCTTGCCTTGTACTTGAATTCCTGTCCCACTTCCTAGTGTTTGTTGTGCCCTCTTGGTTGGGAAGAGGTAGGGAAGGCTCCACACTGGCCTTTCCATGTATCCTGGGTCCTGGCCACCCCTCCTCACCTGGGGTAGCAGCTGCTCCCGATGAGGATCCTGCCCAGTGGGTACTCCTTCTCCCCAACGGTCACCGGGGGGCTCACTTCTAGGTTCCCAAATGCATCCAGCCCAGTGACTTCCCCTGTTAGAGGTCCTCTGGTCATGTAGCCAAAATTTGGACCCTGAAGTGGGAGAAGCATTGAGAAGTATTAGAGCCCCCATCCCTCAGTGGAGAGCAGGCAGGGGCAGGTGTAAGGTGGACTTGGTCCCGGGAAGGAATTGGGTGTCCGTCAGCGGCTAATATGGGGCAGGCACCATTACCGCTCTCGGATGTGGAGGGGAGGTTGGTGGATTTGGGCAAGGAGAGTGACTGGTGTTTGTTGTGTCCCTGGTGCACGCCAGCGACCTGGTAACCTTCACTCGGGCCTAATAACAAGTCCTCCAAGTATCACTTTTATTCTCACTTTGCACACAAGGAAACCACACTGGGGGCAGTGCTCCTGGTCCCCGAGAGCTGCACTCTGACCTGGGCTGGAAGGAGCTTCACAGAATGGTGACATCTCCACGTGTGTCATGAAAGGAGCAGGCGTGGGCTTTGTGGCTGCTGCAGCAAATCGCTGACCAGTCCGTGGCTTAGAAAAGCACAGTCATTCTGTAGCTGCTGCTAGAGTCAGTCTTGGTGGGCTACCCTCAAGGCGGGGCGGGGTGGTTCCTTCCAGAGGCCATGCGGGAACCATCTGTGTCTGTTCTTTTCAGCGTCCAGCGGCTGCCTGGGTGCAGCCCCTTCTCCTGTCTTCTGCGTGCGGCCCTCAGGTCTCTGCTTTGTCCTCACCCCACGCCTCTTCCACTCTGACTCACCTTTCCCCTTCTTCTGAGGAGTGTTATGATTCCACACAATCTCCCCGGGCCCCAGGACGGCAAGACCTCTAACTGGGTCACACTGGCAAAGTCCCTCCTGCCTGTAAGGGAGCACCAGGTTCCTCGTATAGGGCTTGAACATATCTGAGGCACCATTACCCCCAGGAGAGGCTGCACCCCAACTCTACCTTCCTACAAACCAAAGATCCCAACCCTTGTAGTGGCTCCTTCCCGGGGCCCAGCCCTCTGTCTCCTTCGTTGTTGCATGAAATTCCATGAGTGAGCCGACAACCTTTCTGTTTTCAGGCTCCACTCCTCTCCTAAACCTGCCAGACTTTCTGCCTGTTGCACTCAAAACTACCGATCTCTCCTCCCACCGTCCTCCCCTCTTGGGGATGGGGACAATGCCTGCCATTTACAGGTCACAGCCTGGATGCCACCTTTGATTTGTCTCGATCACACTGGTCAGGGGTCAGGGATTTAGCTCGGTGGTTTCGCCACCTGCTGTGCAAGGACCCAAGTTTGATCCCTGGTACCAGAAAAAAAAAAAAACAAAACACTGGTCAGAAATCCAGGCAGCTGGACTGAGAATCTGACTGGGGCTCCCCTTCCTGCTGCATGCTGCTGCGCCTGTCTCACCTGGTCCTCTCCCTGCCCTGCCCACATGCGTTCTCAGCACGCAGCCTGGCCCTTCTCTTGTCAGCCAGCTCAGAATCCCCCTCCTTGGTTTAGGACCAGAAACCCCGTCCAGTTCCCCGGGTTCTAAGTGGATGGTCTCACAGCAGCCAGCAAGCTTGAAGCATTGCATCACTTGGGGCAAGCTGGCTCTAATTCTGTTTAACCATATGGTGGTTCCATCATGCTGAGGTTCCCCGGTGGAGATTGCAAGGAGCTGGGGAAGGTTGTACCGAGGGGGGATTGAAGCTGAGCCTGGAAGGAGGAGCTTCAGCCAGCCTTGGAAACAGGCCAGAGGATCAACATATGCAAAGGCCCTGAGGTGAGGGGCAGATGAGGAGAACAGGAAGGCGTCTAGCAGGGCCGAAGCCAGGTAAGTGACAGGACGAGTGGCCAACGGTGATACTGGAGAAGCAGGGGAGATGATGACAGCCTGTTGACAAGTTTGACTTTTATCCTAATCCTCTTCACTCTGAATGACGGGCTGGGAGCCACAAGTGTCCTCAGTCACCACCACAGCCTCCCTTCCTCCACAGCTGCGTGCAGGAATGGTGGGACACCATGCTGAGGGTCCAGCTCTCCTGTCAGGGGTCTGTCTTGTGACATCAAAGCATCTGGCTTTTGTCACAGACAGGGTATCAAAGTGGGAGAGGCGGCCACTGAGAAAGACAGGAGTGAAACCAGAGAGCCAGGACAGGTCACAGTGCTGTGGACGACTGACCCAGTGCTCCTGAAACGGGGTGCACTTGGCCCCAGGACCCAACAAGATCTCTGTATCCCTGCAGCTCCATGCAGGGCGTGGTGGGCGGAAGTGAGACAGGCAGCCAGGTAACCCTTCCAGAGCCTCTCACATGGGCAGGGCCGCCTTGCCTGCCCTGAGGCACAGGACGCCACCCAGGAAGCCATTCATTTTAGCCAGCCTTGCCAACCACACTCCTTCCTCTGCTTTCTCTGGGTGCCAGGGCTCAGCCTGCCGCCCTGGGGTCTTCCTGGGAAAGCAGGGCAATGAGGTGGGGTTTGCTCCACACTGGCCTAGTTTTAATTCTGATATCTTCACTGTGAGCCTCAGTTTCTTCAACTGCAAAATGGCCTGACTGATAGCATCTCCATAAAAGGTCATGGAATTAAATGAGTCAGTGTATGTAAAGATCTCAGCAGCACGACTGACATGAAAGGCACACTCAGTAAATGCAACTGTTATTATTATTATTGTTGTTGTTGTTATTGTTATTATTCTGTGCTGAATCTGCATCAACCTGCCTGCCTAATCAAGCGTGACTCCCTAAGATGCCACTTCCCATGTGTGAACACTTCAGCTGATAAGGTCACACCTAGGAAATGGACTCTGATTCTGGCCCCCACCTCCTGGATGGAGCTCCTGAGAGCTGAACACCACCCCGAAGCCCGAGCCTGCAGCCGGCCCCACCCCACCTCGCAGCTAGAGCTGGTAGCCAGGGAGGCCCAATACCTCCCAGGGTCCTCTTGGGGACACACTGAGCACAGGTGAAAGGGGCTTGGGGAAAGAAGGGCCGGATCTTATCACTGTAATAACAGGAATAACCAGCCCCACCCGTGGGTCCCACCTGGTCAGGAATTCTGCTGTCAGGGCTGGGCTGCTCGGCCCCTGGCGGGCCTGGGAGGGCCAGGTGGAAGAGGAAAAGGGTCCCTGCCCACCCCATGGAGTACCAGGACGCATCTGATGGGGAAGTCCTTCAGGCCTCGGTCCCTCGGGGAGTCGAACACCACGGGCATGGTTTTGTGCGGTGCCTGGATGTAGCCGATCTCCATTTCATCCTGCGCAGGGGGTGAGGACACGGGCTGTGCCACATGGTGCCAGGGTCATGGCCTCCAGCACACAGACAGGTGTGAAAACACCACACCCTGTCTCCCTCTCCCCCAAGAGCAACCCCCCATGAGATGTGTGGCCCCAGGGAAGCGCTCTGAGGAGCAGAGCTTTGTCCTAGACCTGCCCTGCGAACCAGGTGCCAGGAAACCACAGCCCTTCTGCCCTCTCTGGGCAGGGCGCTGCCTCGGGCACCACAGTGAACCAGATGTGCTCTGTCCCAATGACCCTGCTCCTCAGGTGGGAGAGCCAGGGTCCAGGCAGTGAGCACCTGGTGTCAGGCGGGCCACAGTGCCCTGGGAGGGCAGCTAAGCCCGTCCTGCCCAGAGGAAGCCAGGTGAGGCTGGGCCTCAGCCTTTGGGGGATGAGGGTGCAGGGGGCTTCAGAATCAAATCTGTGGTTCCAGGGCTTTGTGCCAGGGTGTGACGGGGCACAGTCACTGTCATTCGTCACTGGCAGGTGGAACTGTGCGCTGTTTCCCCTTGCAGGTGGAAGGTGGTCTATTAGCAGTGCCACACAGTTCAACCCAGCATTGCAAAGGGAGGAAGAGGGGATGGAGTTAGGGGACCAGGAGGAAGAGGAAGGCATCCTCACTGTAGAGACTGTGGAAGTCGATGAGGGGCAAACGGAGGGCATGACAGGGGGTGAGGATGGGAAATGGGAGGGCAGTGGGATGGTGGGGGGGCCTGGTAAACATTGTGGAGGGCAGCGGGGCCAGGCACTGGGGCCAGGGCAGAGCAGGGAGTGGCTGGGGTTCCATAAGGCCAGGGACAGAGGATGGCAACATGGTGTTTCCCACACAGGGCAGGCGGGTGCCAGGTGAGGGAGGCAGCCAGGTCGCCAGGGCCCTGGAAGCAGCTGAGGGGAGGCGGGAGCCATAGAATGTGCTAGGGCAGGGGAGAGGCGTGGTCTGGCAACTGACCCAGGAAGCCCAGGAGGGAGGGTTTTCCAGCAGGCTTTTGTCAGGGAGGCCCATGGGATGGGCTCACAGTGGCCCTTGACAAAGGTCAGCAAATCAGTGGCTGGAGCCACCTTGGGCAAGGACCCTTGGAGGTGCCCCCTCCCTGTCCACCAGGCAGGGCCACACACTTGCATCCACTGGTCGTCCTGGTTCTCCTCCTCCGGGCAGATGGTCACCTTGCATTTGGCTTTCTTGGCCAGAGCAGCCACTGACCTCACAAAGTCTTCATTGTCAAAAATACTAGAAAGATGCCAGGGATTTAGCTCAGTGGTTCTGCCGCCTGCCTCGAAAGTGGAAGGTCCCAAGTTCCATCCTCAGTACCAAAAAAAAAAAAAAAAAGTGAAAAAATACTAGAAAGAGCAGAGCAGCAGCTCAGGATCCCCAAGTTCAGACCAGGCAGGGGTCTGGGGTGGGTGACACAGGGGCCCCCGATATGCCTGTGGCCTGAGCAGAGGCTCCTGGTTGTCCTGTGTCTGTTCTTGGTGGGCTTCATGTCATGGCGCCCCAGAACAGTGCATCCAAGGCCATGCCTCCTGACACAGTCCAGTTTGAACCTTTGCACTGAACTGCATCCCCAGCCATTTTTACTTTGAATTTTGGGTCAGGGTCTTGCTAAGCTGGGGAGCTGCCCAGCTTGGGGTACTCTGTCCTCCTCCAGTTGCTGCAGCACTTGGACTTGTGATCTTCCTGCCTCAGACTCAGAGTACTAAGATTACAGATGCCCCTGACTTTTCATGCTCCTGAACTTGTCAGAAGCTGCCAGTGAGTTGGGGTAAGGATCATTTTCATCTAGTGAGCTGCACCGGGGTCCTCACCTGCACACGTACACCTCCTGGGGAGGCTGGGTATTGGGGGTCATGATCCAGGGGGCCACACGGAAGGCCACAGTGTCCTGGAAAACCAGGGTGTCGGGGAGCTCCTGCAGGGGAGGGGAGGGAAGGGCCGTCACCCCTGGCACATCCTGGGGCACTCTGCACCCCCAAGCCGGGCCGCCGGCTTGACCTACCGGATTGGAGGCGTCCAGCAGGGAGACACCGAGGGAAATGAGCCCAGGGAAGTCAGCGTCTGGGAAAGCCAGGCCCTCCATGTAGAAGTCTATGCTGTGCTGGCCACCGGGGAGCTCCAGGTGGTGACAAGGCTGCTGGGGTCCCAGGACCACCTTGTACTTAGAGGGCAGTTTGCCCCCTGGACAGAGGCAGGGCAGGATCAGGTCCCTGACATCCTGGGAGACCCTCTTCTCTCCTCAGTGGTTTTTTCCTTTATTTCTTGTCTTCCTTCCCTCCCGCCTTCCCTTCCTCCTCCTCCGTCCTCGGGGTGCTGGGGACCCAGGCCCTCATGCACACTTACAAGCACTCTGTCCCCTCTCCCTGGTGCTGGGCCGCCTACCCCTGCCACCCCCCATGTCACCTCCGGTGCCTGCTCCCTGGCTGGGGTCCAGGGAGGGCACGGTGTTCCTGATCCATTCCCAGTATCTCAGGACTCCACCCCGTCATTCACCCGCTCACTCACTCCTGGGCAGTCGCTCTAGTGGGGTCTAAGCTGACCCTGGGGGTTGGTGCAGGTCGCTGTCCTCCTGTCCTCGCCCCAGGAAGAAGCCAGGCTGTTACAATGTTAGCCACCAGTAAGCACTGAGACTGAGCTTCCTGGGGCAGGCTGTGTGACAGGCCAGTGTCCAGGCCTTTGCCTTTGCCGTTCCCTCTGCCTGCAGTGCCCTCCCTGGAGTGTCGTATGGCTGTCCCTGCATGTCCTCTGCTCAGGCAACACCTCCGGGGAGCCACCCTGGCACCCACCTCACCCTGCACCAGACACAAGGTGTTCTGCTCAGTTACCCCCATTCGTCCCTCCCAGGCCAGTGAGGTGCAAGTGACCGAGGACAGGGTCGGGTTCGAATGCATGGATGGCTCTGGGGAGGGAGGTTATCTCCTTCCTTCCTTTCCAGACACGGTGGACAGAGATGTGAGCCTCACTCATGGCTTTGTCGTGATTTCAGAGCGCAGCACCAGGCAGCCCCTCGGGAGTTTCTGCCACACAGGGGTGTCTGGGGTGGGAAAGGGGCAGAGATGGAGACATGCAGAGGGGGACACTCACGTGTGGCCTGGAAGACCCTCACTCTGCCCATCTCCGACTTGGCCACGTGCAGCAGCAGCCGGTGCCTGGTGAAGAAGTCCTTGGGGGTCTTCGTGCTCAGGGTCACCAGTGACATGTCCTGTGCATCTAGAACAAGGAGGACCCGGCCCGAGATGCCCATGTCACCAGGCTGTCTCCCCTCAGCTGCCTCCCAGCGCAGCCTGGCACCCTGCTGCCCAGTCTCAAGCCGTCACTACGGACACAGTGCTTTCATCTGAGGTCTCTGAATCTCCCCCCGGATGAGCTTCAGATACCAGCTCAGTGAGCCAGGGACTGTGTTCATTTTGTTCACTTCTGTGTCCCTGGCCCCTGGAACCTCACGGGGAAGAACCTGGAACAGTGACAGCACGCGGCAGGCGCCCACACCCTCTGTGCACGGGGTGAGAGGGCAGCTTTGTGCTCTGCTGGGCAGAATCGAGGTTCATGAGCCAATGTAAGAGTGGCACGGGGGCGGGAGGGGCAGCTCAGAGTGGTCGTCTCTGGTGGACAGCACCTCGGTGGAGGGGTGAAGGGGTCTGAGGCCCATCTGGATCTGAGTGACCCTGGGGAAAGTTCCTTCCCCTCTCGGTGCCTGTTTCCTCATCAGTAAATGGGTGAAGGCAGCACTTGGCACAAGGGTTCTGTGCAAGGAACTGACAGATGTCAAGCGCTGGGAGGGCCCGGAGGAGGTAGCAGCCCCAACCATCACCAGACACCAGGCCCACAGAGGTTGTCCTGCATCAGGCCAGTCGGCTGTACACAACTGAAGCGCAGCTGTTTGCACACTGCCCTGCTAGCTGCCCCAGGAAGGCCACAGCCACTGCCCCTCAGCAGCCCCTCCAGTGCAGGTGGGTGAGGCCCTCCTACCCCAACTCCCAGCATCCCAGAACAGCACTGGCAGAGACCCTGTCCCCAGCACCCGCCCTGCTGCCCTGAGTCTGCTACTTATTAGCTGTGTGACCTTGTGCCGATGAGCTGCCTAACTTCTCCATGACATGGTTTCCTATCCGCTAAGCTTTGTGTTGAAGGATCGAATGAGCTGATCATCCCCAAGTACTCGGGTCAGAGTCTGGCTATGTCAGGGGACTCGGGGGTGACTCGGATGTGACTGGGGACAGCTTTCATTCTGATTGCTTTTGGTCCCCAAGTCTGAGCCAACTGCAGATGTTCAGGTTGGGTGGGAGCGGCAGGGACTGTGTGACCTTAGGTAGGGACCAATGTCCATTTCACCCTAACCTGACCACACTCCCAAGACCCAACTTCAGAGGGCTGTCACAAGCTCTAGCCATGTGGACAAATCGGCTTTGGAAAGAGACCAGGCCCGGGTCCCAGCCCCAAGTGTCTTCACCTTTGCTGTCAAACACCTCCTCATCCTCACAGTCCGTTCCGGAGGACTGGGGATTGTTCCTGTCGCAGTTCACCAGCAGAATGGCGCCTTGTCCAGAGGGGCCCCAGGTCCAGGTGCTCTGCACACCCGGAAGAGAGGAGCTGGCTCAGGACTGGAGCAGAAGACCCCTCAGTGGCTCCCGGGAGAAGCGGGCTGACCTCCCGTCACCCCAGACCTGTGTGCCACAACCACCCTGTCCCCACACTAAGCGATTCTCAGGTTCCCAGAGTGAGTTTCTGCCTGCTCCAAAAGCCATCAGCAAATTCACCAAAAGAGCCCAAGACAGTGAACCGGATTTTAACAGCTTTTTAAAAAAATGTTGGATTGACAAAATAAATGAAGCCAAGTATGTATGATGAGAGTCCAATCTACCTAGTTACTGTGCTGTGAACTCTTAATGGCTCGTTCCACCAGGGTGGATGCTATTCTTAGCAGCCAGCTGGTCTCTGCCAAAAGATAAAGCAGATTAAGTGGCCCCCACTGTGGGGACCTAAAAGCAATGATGCCTCCTTCACAGGGCAGTGTCTGCTCTGGGGAGTGACTACAGTGTAGTCATTTGTCCCCTCGCTAAAGACTTTTTGTTGGCATGCATCAGAGACAGGAAGATCTCAAGCTGGAACCCAGTCAGAGCAACTTAGTGAGACCCTGTCTCAAAATTTAAAATGAATAAAAGGGCTGGAGATACAGCTCAGTGTGAAGGTCCTGAATTCCATCTCCAGCTTTAGTTTTTTGTTTTTGTTTTTTTTTTTTGCAGTACTGGGGATGGATCCCAGGGCCTTAGTCATGGTAGGCAAACACTCTGCCAGAGCTACAGCCCAGTCCATTTCCTGAGCTTCTGACTGGCTCCAGTTTTTTTGTTTTTGTTTTTGTTTTTGAGACAGGGTCTTCTTATAGCTCAGGCTGGCCTCTAACTTGTGATCCTCCTGCTTCAGCCTTCCAAGTGCCAGGATTATAGGTTTGGGATTTCAGTTTGGCATCTTCTAAAGTGCACACAACCATATTAAATTGTGCAGGCAGAGCCAGGTGCAGTGATGCACACCTATGATTCCAGCTACTGGCTCAGGAAGATCACAATTTTTCCCCCAATTTTAGTATATGTGCTGCTGAAGCGAGCACCACAATTTTTTTTTTTTATACCAGGGATCAAATTTGGGACCTTGCACTTTTGAGGCAGGCAGAGGCACCACTGAGCTAAATCTCCGGGCCAGAAGATCACAAATTTGAGGCCAGCCTGACAACTCAGCCAGACTCTGTCTCAAAGTTTAGAAAATAGATGAAAAGGGCTGGGGATGCAGCTTAGTGGTACAGCACCCTTGGGTTCAATCCCAGTATTGGAAAAAACACTGTGCAGGCAGCTCTGAGGTTTCAGAGACACCCCAAACTTCACCCACAGAGCCCAGGTCAACAGTTTTAAGGTCCTTTCTGCACACTCCACCACCCCATGTCTCCACAGCACACATTCCCTGCCCAGCCACCTCCCTCCTTTCCCTGCCATTCTTCCTTTCTCTTTCTTTTTGGTACCAGGGATTGAACTTGGGTCCTTGCGCTTGTGCAGCAGGTGGCTAAACCACTGAGCTAAATCCCCGGCCCCCTTTCTCTGTTATTCACCCCATACAGACAGCTGCAGGAGAATCATTAAAGCTGGGGGTGGGGTGGGTGGGAGGTTTGAGCCAGAGTTGAGACTTGTTTACAAATATTTTAGCCCGGCGTGGTGGCACACACCTAAAATCCCAGCACTCAGGTGACTGAGGCAGGAGGATCACCATGAGTTTGAAGCCAGTCTGGGGTACCTAGTGAGTTCAAGGCCAGCCTGAACTACAAAGCGGGACTCTGTCTCAAAAAACAAAAGACCAATAACAATAAAAAGAAAAATAATTATAGTCCATTGAAATAAAAAATTTAGTTTAAAACAAATATTTTCTCTGATGTATATTTAACTGAGTAACCCAGTAGAGATTCTGAACCTATAATTGGTGACAATTACGGTCTTGTAAAAGAGATGGGATATACAAACTAAAATGTTTTTTCTCCTTTCTAAATTGTTTAGTTAACATAGGACACATGTCTTTGTCCCATGCCCACCAGGGGGCGCTGTAGTATAGCCCAGCAGTCCTAAAAGGACCATTTGGGTGGGGGTCAGGGTTGAGAGGTACCTGGTCTTTCATGGACCTGGTTGGCTTCGCTTTGCCCGAGCGGGTGACATCCGCCAGTAGAGAGATTTCTGAAATTCCACAAATAAGAAGAGAGGGTTGATGAGGGTGTGGAGTGGGGGCACTCAGCCTGGCCTCGGGGGGACAAGTCCTCTCCAGGAGAGATCTGCACTGAGGGCAGGGGTCTCGCCTCCTTCAGAGGGGACACAGGTACATGGCACCTCTCCCTTTGTCCCCAAGAAGTCTGGCTGCAATTCGGTGACCTCCTGAGCATTTGCCCTCCTTCAGAGGCCCAGGCTGTGGTGCCAACAGGACCCCAAGGGTCTGACCACCCTGAGGGGCTTCTGGATGAATTCCCACCACCCTGTGAAGGGTACACATGAAGCCCTGGAAGGACAACTCACCAGGCTTTCAAAGCCCCAGTCCTCCATCACCTTGGGGTGGGGACACAGTGGTTGTACCTCCTCCACCTGCTCCTTATTATTTGTGCCTACACCGGGGGACAAACCGCAGCCCAGTGTCCCAGGCGATGGGAACTTCTGACCATGCTCCTTCCACTGACACAGACCTTTGTGTTCACAGCGTGGCATGGGACCCTTGTCCTGCGTGGCATTGGTCCGGATGTCCTCCTAAGAGCATTCACCCACACAGTAGTGCAGGGATGGGCAGCACAGTCCACAGTGGCCGGGACCTCTCCACTCCTTCACTTACTGTCTGTGCGACCTCGGGCGAGTCTGTCTACCTCCTGTGCCCCAACTTCCTCATCCGTAAACTGGGACAGGAACAGCCCCAAATGTACTGGATTGCTGTCCAAATTAAACCTGAAGTTCATTACAGTGCCTAGCAGAGTCAGTGCTAGCTTATTATGATTTAAATGTGTGTTCATGAACAGGACTTGTTATTAAAACAAAATCTGAAAGTTTCAGGTTATTTGTATGTTTAACACACACTTAAAAACAGTATGATATTGCTCAAGATGAAGTCAAATTAAAAGTGGGTTTCATTATTGTTGTTGTCTTGGTGTTTTGAGATGAGTCTTGATATGGAGCCCAGGCTGGCCTTACACTTTTGATCCTCCTGCCTCACCCTCTTAAGTGCTGAGATTACAGTGTTTACACCATATCCAGCTTTTCAAAAATTATTTCTTAAGAGATAGGGTCTTGCTATGTTGCTGAGACTGGCCTCCAACTCCTGGACTCAAGTGATCCTAAAAATGTGTTATATCTGAAGAAGAATATTAAATAAATGTAAGCACACGAGTATAGGTGGATTGTTGGTGTAACAAAAATGGTAAAAATGAAATCGAAATAGTGGATTTGGGGAATGTGGTCTACATTATCTGGTAACACAGTGTCATCATCTATTTTTGCTATAAATATTTGAGGCAAGGTTTAGAGATTTGTATGTTGAAAATCATGTACTTACTTCCTAACTTGAGAAACAAATTAAGATGCATAATTCAAGTCCCTTCACCTCTCTCCTGGAGAGACGCCCTGCAGGGTTTGGAAGGGGAGGGGAGCACTTACCCACACCAGTTAGGTAGAGCAGAGCTTGCACTGTAGGGGTCTTGGGTCCATAGTACGAAATTTGAACCTACAAGACAGCAGCAGAGCATGAGAGACTTCTCTTAGTCATTCAACAAACACAAACTGGAAGCCTGCTCTGTGCCAGCTGAGCTCAAATGACTACAGTCCCATAGAAGAAGGTCCTATGGGAGCTCAGAAATGGAGGGACTGGCTCTGCCTGGGAAGGGGGGCCAGGGAAGGTTTGCAGAGTACACCTTGAGTAGATCTTGGGGGTGAGGAGCAGAGGATAGGCAGACGGAGCTGGGGTGGAGGAAGCATTAGGGGAGAGAGCTGGTTATGAGCCACAGGACGGGCCCCAGCAAGCAGAACGGATGGAAGAAAGACCTCAAAGGCCTCACTCCCCGGGCACTTGGGGAGCAGGGAGAGTTGATGTCTTCAGGCAGGTGCTGCTGAGATTTCCAAACACCAACCCGGCTTGTCTAAAAGCAACTCCACTTTCCGCTCAGTGGCAGAGTGCAAGCGCTTAGCTTGCTCCAGGCGCTCCGTTCAGGACCTGAAGCCCCATAGGAGGACACGTGTGATTGGCCCAGCTGCCAGAAGTGGGCGGGGCTCCTGATTGACTGGCCCAAGTAACAGGGCAGGTGGCGACTGGAGTTCCCCCAAGCGAAAGTGTCGGGGCGTCCTGTCAGCGATAGGGGATCCAGTAGGGCTCCAGGGAAATGCTACGCCTTGTTGCTTCTTGCTGTCGGGGTCCCCTGCCTCTCGTCTACCCCTTGGATCCAGTCTCATTGCTATGGCAGCCAGTGGGCTCTCTCTAGAATAGAAATGTGGGCTTGTTATTCCCAGGCTGAAAGCTTTTCTTTGGCTTCTTGTTGCCCTCAGAAAATGGGGTCCCCGATACCAAGCCCTGTACACTGACTGAGCGAGGGCTGTCCCTCACCTCTGCCTCCACCACCTTTCCTGTCCCACAGACGTCCCCAGTGTCCCCAGTGTGTGTCTCCTCACCCAGAGTGTGTGCACGGCCACCTGGCCCATGGCTCCCACTCCTCTTTCCCTCTCTCATCCTTCAGCTTGCTGCTTCTTCCAGAAGTTTTTCCCTGACCACCCCTACCTGAGTACCCAAGCTCTGTGCTCCTATAGGAGGTGACAATGCTTGGTCCCCAGGGAAGAGCCTGCTGAACTTGTTCCTCCAGCAACAAGTGGCTATTGGCTAAGATCTCTGTGGGAAACCCAAAGGGTGTTGTTGGGACCATCTTGGTTCAAGGGGGTATGGTAAGTCCCCATAGTGGTCCCCCCAAACACATCCCAATTTCTGGAACCTGTGAACATGACCTTGTTTGAAAAAAACAAGATGGAGGTCGGTTAAATATCTTGAGATGAGGAGATCATCCTGGAATATCCAGGTGGGTCCTGAACCCAAAGACAAGCGTCCTTATAAGAGAGGAACAGGGATTACATGAAGGAGGGAAGCAGAGTGACCACTGAGGCACAGTGGTGAGGCAGCAGCACACATCATAGGATGCTGACCACCACCAGAAGAAGCTGGGAGAGGCAAGGAGCTGCTGCTCCTCCCCTACAGCCTCCAGGGGGAATGTGGCCCTGTTGACACCTGGATCTCAGACCTCTGTCCTCTAGAACTGGGAGCATACATTGCTGTTGCCTTAAGCTAGCTGGTAATTTGCTGTGGTGGCCATAGGAAACTAACATGGATGTGGAGCAGAGCTCCTTGGGGCTCCCCTTCTTTGGCCTTCATAGACCTCTGTGCCACGGGTAATGCTGTTTGCTTACCTGTCTGTTACCTGATCCCCCCACTCACAGATTGTGAGCCCTGCCAAGACTGCAATCTCCCCTGGCTTGCTCGTTTCTATCTTCCTGGTGCCTGGCAGTGTCTGGCATGTTAGGAGTTTATTAAACATTGACTGAGTGGATAGGTTGAATCAAGACCCTGGCCCCCCCAAAGCTCCAGGTAGCCCTGAGTTACTGCCCATGGGACCCTTGGTGGAAGAGGCCATCATGAGCTTTTCCAAAGGAAGGATGGCTTTGGGGCTGGTGCTGTGCACAAAGGAGAAACAGCTTGGCTGTGGCTGCTACCTGGCAGATGTCCTTCCACACTTCCACTCCATGGCTCACACTCACCTTCTGGTCATCCATGCTACTGCTGGCAGCTTTCATCCTTAGGGTCACCTCCAGCATAGGGTCCAGAGGCCATTTGGAGGAGCCTGTGGGAGTCTTCTTGGCTGGAGAGCTGTGGGTGATATCGACAGCCACCCCTGGGGGGGCAGTGATGCTGAAGGATGTGCAGTCCTTGGGGGCAGAGCTGTGGAAGGGACCGAGGAGGGCAGCAACCCATGAGGAAGGGCTCAGCCCAACATGGCTCTCCTTGGGATCTTCCCTTTTTCAGATGCCAACCCAGGCAGCAGTCAGACCTTACTCTGCTCAGGAGAGTGAGTACAGCCAGGTTGTCAAGAGGTAATGAGGAAAACAGGAAGATCTGGAGGGCTTACACTTGAACTAGAAGACAGGAGAGGAAAGTACATACCAAAGTCTGCCTGTCCTGTCTCTCTCTGCCATGTATGCATAGAGCAGTGTACACACCCAGAGGTCTTTAACACACCAATGTGTACACACGGGGCTGTACACATACAAAAAAAATTACACAAACTTCTGCTTCTAAAATTGTGGTTGGCCAAATACTTGAGGATCTTATAAAATGTCTGGATCACAGATAAATATACTTTTCAAAGCATTGCTAAGCTTATAAGAAGTAAGGAGAATCTCCAAGAATCAGCCTTCTCTTTGTGTGCATCCACACACACACACACACACACACACACCCTCACACACACACCACCAGCATGAGTATCCATGCACACACAGCACAGTAAATCGAAGAACACCCAAAGATGAGCCGAGGGGGTGGGGTGGGTATTTTAGTATCTGACAAAATAGTTTGCTAGTCATTACTCACATTATCATCGGTAGAAAAGATCACCTAAAAGATATTCTCAAATTGTGTGTGTCTAATAATACAACCTTGACACACACACAAATCTCAAAGATAAGATTTCAAAGTCATTCAGAAAGAAAAGACTACTCAGAAAGAAATAAAAATTAGATCGACAGCAGATTTCTCAATAATAACAGTGAAATCTGGGGGACAATTGAGTAAATCTTCTTAGAATTTTGAGAAAACAACTATTGACTTAGAATTGTACACCCTTCCCCATTATTTTTAGACAAGGTCTTGCTCTGTAGCCCAGTCTGCTCTTGAACTGAAATTCAGGTGATCCTCCTGCTTCAGCCTCCCGAGTGCTGGGATTACAGGCATATGCCACAATGCCCAACACTGCCAAAAATCTTTTACTAAAGACATTTTCAGATGAACAAAAGTTAGTATTTCAAAATCAACAGACTTTGACTGAAGCAACTTCTGAAAGCATAGTTTTGAAAGAAGGTCACTGAGGTCAGAAGACGGCACAAGAAAGAATGGTAAACAAGTAAAATGGTGAATTTCTTCATAAATCTAAACAAACATCATCTATATTCAAAGAAGTCATAAAAACATCAAGTTTGTGGGATGAAAAGGGACAGAATTTAAATTGGCAGGACAGTGAGGCGAGTTGAAGGAGATCCTTGAATTCTCACCAATGGATTTATATATTCAATGGGATTCCAGAGGTTCTTACTGAACTTGACAAATTGATTTTAAAATTTGTCCAATGGAAACCCAAGGGGCCAGATAGTCTAGGTACCCCTTAAGGAAAAGAGATAAAAAACTGAGGGACTTGTTCTACCAGGTACAAGACACTATTATGCCATGGAGATAATTATGGGTTATAATCACCCAGGCCAAGACAAAGGGAGGGTGTAATTTAAGAGAGACCCTACTTAATCTATGGAAGTGGTCTTGGACAGAACTGGGCACAGTGGAGACTGCATCATAAATGGTACTAGGACACTTGTTCACTCATGTGGAAAATAATTAAATTGGACAAATAATGAAAGAATTAAATTGATCCCAGCCTCACACTGTCTTAGTTCCTTTTCTTGTTGCTGGGCCAACATACCAAAGTTAAAGGAGGAAAGGTTTATTTAGCTCACTGTCTGTAGAGGTTTCAGTCCATAATCAGCTGGCTCAAAGGCAGGGTGGCATGACAGACAGGCATTGTAGAGAGGAAACAGTTCATGGTGGGCAGAAGGTGGCAAAGCAAGCAAGGGATGACCACAGCTCTTTCTATCCCTTATATCTTATCCAGGCTACTTAGGGCAGGTGGCACTCATACCCTTCACTGTAGTGCCCTTGATCCTAGCATTGCACCATGAATCAATCCCAGCATCACACACTCTAGATCCAGCCATCTCTGAAAAAGCCCCACCTATGACACTGGGCTCTGGGGGGACATCTAGACACAAGCCATAACACACCATATGCAAAATGAGTTCCAGGCAGAAAAAAAAGTACACAGCAGAACTTTGAGTCTTTTAAAGAAGATGTAGTATCTGTAAGCTTTTTCTGAAATAAGACATCAAACCAGGAAGCATAAAGGAAAATATTGAGAAGTTCAACTAGATGAAAATAAGTACTATAAAAGACATGCACAAGGGCTGGGGATTTAGCTCAGTGGTTCTGGCGCCTGCCTCGAAAGTATAAGGTCCCGAGTTTGATCCCCGGTACCAAAAAAAAAGGACATGCACAATCTAAGGAGAGCTTGTTCACAAGGTAAGACCAATGAAGGCTTAGCATCCAGAATATTAAAAGAGCTTAAGCTTATAAACATGAAAAAGACAGCCCTATAGCAAAAATGGGCAAAAGACACAACAGGCATTTAGAGAAGTGGAAAGATAAATGGGTGATAATCCCGTGAAGAGACACTCTACCATACTGATAAGCAAGGAAATGAAAATGTCAAGGCTGCCATGAGACAGGATCTTACACATACTGAATTGGTGAAACATAACGTTCTAGACTACATGGGTCAGCAGAAACCCTAATGCACTGTTCGCAGGGGTGTGATGTTAACCTCTTTATAAACCAACTTAGTGTTTGCTTGGAAAGCCAAACATTAGCCAACCCAAACTCAACAACTGCACTCCTAGACCAACATTCTGGAGAATTTCTTCCATGTGTGCATCAGGAGACACATTCAGGAGAGCTTGGGGCAGTCCTTTCTGTCCTGGTGGGCAATGTAGCACAGTCCAAACACCCATAGACAGAGGAGAGGCTAAGGAATTGTAGCTGATCTGGGTGGGCATGGTGGTGCATGCCTGTAACCCCAGCACACAGGAGGATGAGGCAGGAGGATCTCCACAAATTCAAGGCCAACCTGGGCTACATAGTGGATTCAAGATCAGCCTGAACTACATAGCGAGACTCTGTCTCAAAAAACAAAAACCAGGGCCGGGGATTTAGTTCAGTGGTTCCGGTGCCTGCCTTGCAAACGAAAGGTACCGAGTTCGAGCCCCAGTACCAAAACAAAAAAAACCCAAACAAAAACAAACAAACAAAAAAGCAAACCAAAGCAACAACAAAAATATTGTAGCTGAATCACAACAGTGCATGGGTGACTCCCTTGAGTCAGGCAGCAGAACCACTGAGCTAAATCCCCAGCCTGGGTGACTCCCTTGAGAGGCAGAGCTCACTTCATGAGGTCACAAAGATACTTAGGATTATGTTTCCTATTTTTATTTTTGTGATAGGGTAGGTTTTTGTCTGTATATACAAAGCTATATGTATTCATGATAGAGAATTAGGAATGTACAGGAAACCATGGTAATGGGGAGACTTCTAAGAGGGCCCCCATTTTAGCCAGCTTTGTGTCACTGTGAGAAAGCACTGGAGGTAATCAACTCACAAGAAGGGAGGATTTGTTTCGGCTCAGGGCTCTAAAGGCTTCCTTCTTCACTCCCCAGAGTGAGACCCCCTCAGGCAGAACAGTGGCCTCCCAAAGACACCCTCCTCCTGAGCCCCAGAACCCGAGACTGTGTCACCTTACACAGAAGAGGAAACTGGTAGATGGGATTGGGGGTGAATCTTGAGATGGCCCTGCACCATCTGGGTGGGCCAGATGTAACCCCCAAGGTGTCTATGAGGGAGGCAGGAGGTCACAGTCAGAGGAAATGTGGCAGTGGAAGTGAGGCTGGAGAGATCCGTTCTGGAACTGACCACAAGCCAAGGGACATAGGTGGTCTCCAGTGGGTGCAGGCAAGGGACAGATTCCCCAAAGATTCCCCAGAAGGAACGCGGCCCTGTGGAACCCTTGACCTCCAGAACCTGAGATCCTACATCTGTGCTGTTTGGAGTCACTGGATTTCGCTACAGCGGAGATGGGCAAGTGGTGCCTCGGTGGTCACCATGCATCTTGCACGGCCACGGGTAAAGCCCCGCTTGGCTACACATGCAGACTGGAACCAAGACCCAGGTCCTCATCGGGAGGGAGGCATGGAGGGAGGAAGGAAGGAAGGCGAAAAAGTAGGCAATGTGTTCCACTCCAGTAGATTAACACTGTCAGCATGCCAACTTTTGTCCTAGAATATGCATAGGAACAACAGAAGGTGCAAACATGAGCCTGTTTCTCGCTCAAACAGAAAATGTCACCAGGAAGTCTAATGACAGCGCACAACCTGTGGTCATGTCATTCTCCCCACGCCCTCCACTCAGGGATGTGGCATTTGAGATTTTTGTAACCATCAGTGACATTTTGGGCTTGGCACCTTTTCCTGCCATGATGGTGCTGCCCAAGTTGACTATGACCTGGGTGGAGCCTGCAGCCCCTGACCAGTCAGTTGCCTCTTCCCACATGGCCCCAGATACTGTGCTCACAAACATCTGATGGGGAGGTGTTAGTCCCATTTTACAGATGAGGAAATTGAGGTTCAGGGAGCCCAAGCAACTCCTCCAAGGTCCTTGGCAGACAATGGCCAATCTGATGCCATCACTGCCACCCATGGTGGCTTCTTTCTCTGCATATGCCCCACCCTGCCCATCCAGTGTCAGCTGTTCGCCAAGACCAGCGGTTCTCAAAATGCAATACTCGGGACACCTGAGAGCTTAGAAATGCAAAGCCTGGGCCCCCAGACCTGCTACCTGCAGATCTGGGGCTTTGACACGCCCTCCAGAGGTCCCATGTAAACCCAGGCTGAGCTACCCTGGATCCCCAGGAAACCCAGGACACAGGCGCAGGCCAGGAGGAAGGAAGACTGTGGTATGCGTGCCTGTGGTTGCTGTTTTTTTATGAGGTGGGCGGAGCTACTTCAGAGTCAGCAGGTTTTCCGGGCTGGAGAAGAGGAATGCGGATTCTCACTCAAGGACCTAGAGATAAGGAACCAAACTTGGTGGCAGGGAGCAGGAGCTCAGAGCATTCAGGGCAGCCCTGGGACTTGATACATGGGTAATGGGGAGCCAGGATAGGTTGCAGAGGAAGGGAGTAGTGCAATCATAGTGGTGTCAGAGGAGGAGAAAGTTTGGGAAGAAATTCAACTGGGACAGATGGGAGGTACAGAGATAGTCTTGGACTATTCAGGGCTGGCTGGCGGAAGTCCTAGGTGTTGATACAAAGGGTGACTTGGGGTCCTGATGAGGGAGCAGAAAAGACAAGGAGCAGACAGACCTGGATTCCAACGCCATGCCCACCACTGAGCGCTGCAGCAGGGATTCCTATCAGAGGCTCCAGGGCCCAGGAGTGATGGCCCAAGCATTGCAGGAGCATGGCTGTATCCACTGCCGGACCTGTACTGGCCACCCTGTGCCCAGTGCACCGTGTCTCACACAGTGCTGCAAAGCAGGACTTTGGTCAGCCCACTTCACAGGAGGAAAACTGAGGCAGGAAACAGGAGTGGGCTTCTGTTTGAAGAAGGCACCTGTGTGCCTGGCTCTTTACACCCAGCCTCTCCCCACTTCACAGAGGTAACAGGACGGTGGGAGGGGCAGGAGTGCCATCCAGTTGGGGGTTGGCCGGCTGGCTTGATGTTCAGGGCCCCCAGGTGGAGACAGCTCCAGGTATGGGCACAAGGAGACATCAGGTCAGGGCAGAGCTTCCAGCCAGGGAGTTGCCCTGGCCCAGGTGACAGGTGCAGCCCCGAGGGCTGTGAGGTCACCAAGGGTGGGAATGCAGGTGGCAGGGCTGGGGGAGGAGTTGCTGAGTGGGAACCTAGCTCACAGCCGGATTACTGCAAGAGGATTTCAAGGTAGCCGAGTGCCTAGTCTGTACCATGTACTATGGGGAAGGCACAAAGATAAATGAGGCCTTTCCTGTGCTCAACTTTCTTTTCTTCACTCAACAAACACTTCAAGAATACCTACTATGAGGGCTGGGGATTGAGCTCAGTGTTTCTGCCGCCTGCCTCACAAGTGCAAGGTCCCGAGTTCAAACACCGGTACCAAAAAAACAAAAAAAGAATACCTATGTTCCAGGCACAGTCCTCCCTTAACACACAACCCATTCATTCAGCTAAGCAGTACACATGCTCACTTCCTCCACCGTGTGCCAGGCTTTGTGCTGAGGACAAGAGTGGATATGACAACTGTTACAGGGTCGCCAGCACAGCTCCTGGCTTACAGTGCCCTAAATCCCTAACCCTTCTGCCTCTATCGCAGTCCACCTCCTGGCCCAGCCAGAGCTGTACAGAGGCCTTGGTTTCTCCACTGAAGCTGGGAGGCTCTTTCCCCAGGCTCAGAGCAGCAGGGCGGGGCTAGCTCACAGTGGCCTTGTGCGCCTGAGCTGTGGCCAGGACCAGAGAAGAGGGCTGCACCAAGCATTCTGTACAGCAGGCAAGTGGATCAGGGGCTCAGAAAACTAGGGGAGGCTGGAACTTTGGGTCACCAGGCTCCCTCTGCTGTGTGCGGCTTCCTCCATGGGGTGGGGGAAGGGCACAAACACAGCACCTGCCTCCTGCCACAGCCACCCTCTGTGCCAGCCGGGGAAATCGAGGCCAGGAGCAGCCAGGCTGCTGGGAAGAGGCACCGCCAGGATTCATCTTCAGGGCTTCCACTTTCTTTTGAGGACTTTCCAGGTGTTCTCAGCTCCCAAGCAAAAACTGTGCCGAACACCTGGGGTCTGCACTCTGTGTGTGACTGTGTGTCACTATAGAGCAGTCCCGACCTAAGGCTTCCTTAATGCCAGTCCCTTTGCAGATGGGAGCCCCAGGCAGTGACTGGCTTGGTCCTGCAGCTGCCGGTCTCCATCTGCTCAAGGAGGACCAGCAGCAGGACTGCACCCAGCGTCTTCGACAGAGGCATGCACTGCCTTTACAGGGACGAGGCCCCTCTGCCAGACATCAGCTTGTGTCATGTGATTCAGTCCTTGCCACAACCCAGCAGGCAGGCAGGTGTTCATTCCCCCACTTCACAGATGGGCACACTGAGTTTTAGAGACACTAACAGACACGTCCATGTTCCCTGCCATCATTCCAATGGTCTGCTGTTGAGGAGACGCTGGGGAAGAGGAGGGCCACCCATCAAGGCACCTGCAGAGTGACAGCCATCCTCCAAGGTTTGCACCACCTCCCCTGTCCCTCCGTGGGCCTTTCCCACCAGAGGAAGCTCCCTGACTCTGCTACCAGGAGCAGTCTTGGCCTAGCTATTTCCACAGCACTCAGAGAGGGGGTGTAGGGGAGTTAGGAGTCAGAGGCCACCTGTATGGGACTTTGGTGTTTTCATTTCCCAAAGCCTTGGTTTACTCATCTCTAAAATGGGCACCATGGGAGCATTTACCTTGCAGATTTCTGCAAAGATTAGAAATCAGTGAGAAGGCTGGGCATGGTGGTGCATACCTGTAATCCCAACACTTGGGAAGTTGAGGCAGGAGGATAGATGTGAGTTTGAGACCAGCCTGACTAAAAAACCCCCAAAACAAAAAACAAACCCAAAAAACAAAACATCAGTGAGACGGGCCTGTCACCTCACAGCTGGGTCCTGATGACTTCTGACTCCCCCACAGGCACAGAAAGCCCGAGAGAAGTGTTACTATTCCTCTCAGCTCAGCACGATTTTAACACGCTCAAGGCATTTCCTGCTGCAGGAAAGCACTTTTCACACCCAGATGAATTCAAAGGAATTTCTGTGAGTGGCTCCAGAATAATGGCTCTCACCTGCTCCGAGACCTGTCTTTCCAGCCCCGGGGTCTCTGAGCTCTGGAACAGGTATGGGACTTGTGCCGGGGTGTGGGGGGGTGGCAGGCTTAGCCGGCTGGCTGTGGTTTAGGGAGAGGGTGGTGGCTGCCGGGAAGGGTGTGTTGGGACTGGCAGGAAGTGACAAAGAAGGCTGGTGCAGGGTGGGTTACTTAACCTCCTCGAGCTTCAGTTTCCCCTGCTATAAAATGGGAATAAAAGCATTGCCCGCCTTGTGTGTCCAGAAAGGTGACATCATTTTCAGCATATTTATGAGCAGCAGTTGGGGGACAGAATGACAGGGCCCAGTACCTGACTGAAGGAGGAGAAGCAGAGGCCTCTGAGGCTCCTACGGACTTGGGAGCACCTTCCTTTTGGCCCTGCCCAGCCAGCTCCCTGCCTAGAAGGCCCAGTGACCTTGACCCACCACTGGAGCACAGGTAGAGGACGAACCTGGCATGCTGGGGTCCCCCTGGCTGGTCCCGGACCCTCCATTTCCTCCAACTGCCCTCCATACAGCTCTTTCTGAGGAGTCCAGGGCCTCCAGCAGCACTGACTTTCTTTCTTCCTTTGTTCCTGACTTCTCAGCCTCCTGCCTCCCATCTGTGGCCTGGGAGGCCACTAGAGCCTGACTGCTGGGCTCAGACAACGAGTGATGCTCTCAAGAAAGTGTCCTAGACACCCCTGTTGACACTGTTCTAGGACCACGGATGCCCAACCTGGGGTTGGAAGCCAGGGGCTGCCTTACTGTTACTGACAATGACAATAACGACGGCACCATGCATACTCCAAGAGTGTTCCTCATCCATCTTGTGTGACCCAGAGCCCGGCACATTGTGGGTCCTCCACTGTTATTTGATGAATGAGTGAATGAATGAATGAACAAGTGAGTGAACGGATGAACAGCTACCAGGAACACGCCTGCCACTGAGCTAAGTACTTAGCGAACATTGTCACCTTTCCCACGTTTCATTTGTAAACCACATCATGAAGCGGGCAGTGTCCTCACTCACAGCTGAGGAAACCGAGGCCACCCAGCCAGCCAACTGCAGGCCAGGGGCTACCTCCCTCTGTCTCTCTGATCCACAGCCTGTCCCATCACCCCCACGCTGTCACACACCCTCGGAGGGGTTCGCACAGCACATCTCCTTGGGAACCAGGTGTGGTCCAGGGACTTGCTGTGTGACCGAAGCCAAGTCTCAGACCCTCTCTGACCTCTCTGTTTGCTCCATAATAATTCATTTGAAGTGAGATCCTGGGAAGCCTCACTTACATGCGCAGAGGCCTCACTGTCATGAATCCGGCCCCTCTCGCTGCTCCTGCTCCTGCTCAGGGTTTGTCTTTCCAGCTGCTCCCTGGCAGTTGCCACAGAGGCAGAAGCCAGAGCCAGAGGTAGCCCATGCTCTTAGGGTGCCAGAACTGGTTCATGCTGTCACCCGTCCTACCCCGACGCCCAGGAGGCTCCCCTCTCACCTGCAGACATCAAGCTGAGTGGCAGTGCCCAGCACACACACGGCTTGGGTGGGCTGCTCGGGGGCCACACGGATCGCTGTTGCGTGGGCCATCCTCTGGCCATGCAGGGAGCCCCCGGCTGGTTCCTTTATACCACCTGGCAGAGCAGTGAGTCAGCACCTGTGATCTGAGGCCCAGAGGCCTGGCCCAGCCCACTCGGCTGGGTGTGGGCAGAAGCCTCCTCTGCTCAGGCCAGAGTCAGTGGCAGATGTTTCCACGGGAGAGGCCATGGCTCAGGAAGCCTAGGAGTGGGGAGCGAAGGTCTGAGCCTGAATACCTTTAGCCTTGTCCCGTTCTGGGGCCAAAACATCTGGACCCATTCAGTCTCTCCTAACCATGCCAAGCAGAGGTGGCAGAGAGAGGAAGGCGAGAAAGCAGGGAGATTTTAAGCAAGAAGTCACAGCTCAGGCCCTCATTCAAAGACCAGCCAGGCACCAGGCTGCCTATGTGACAGCTTACCTTCTTAGGGTTTTGTTCTGTCCTGGCTCCTCTGAGGAGTTCTAAGGCTGGCACCATTGTTAGACCCATTTCACAGAGGAAGAAACTGAGGTGGGAGGAGGGTTCACAGCTGGACAGTGGAAAAGCCAGGACTTGAACCTAGTGCCTGTGACTCCAGAGTATGAATGAATTTGTTATCTTCCTGACCTTGGGACATGTGCTTTTCAGACTTTATCATGACCGTTTCTTAGTGAGACACAAGGTTTACATGGCTTATTGCAACATATTTTACAGAAGGGCAAATGAGACTCAGACAGGAAAAGTGAATTGCCCAATGCATAGGGAAGGTGTAACAGAGCAGGGAGGGAAGACCGAAGCCTGACCCGGAAGCAGTGTTCTCTGCTCTCCAGATGCTGCCTGGGGCTGGGGCCTCAGGTCAGACCAGACAGTCACAGGCCCTGGGTGCTCTCTTAGGAGGTGCACAGGCCACTGGTGCCAGGCTCTGTCTGCTAAAGGGGTGATGAGTTGGGGGAGGGGAGTGGACAGGTCCCAACAGGGAGCAAGACACACCCAGGGTCTGCTGCCCACCCCGAGCAGCACTGGGGCTTGGGGAGTGTGTGTGTGTGTGTGTGTGTGTGTGTGCACGCGCGTGCGTGTGCGCGCTTGCTTTGGCTTGGAATTATGAACCAGGCTGTGGGGCTAGGCAGGCTTGAGTACAAATCCTCCTTCAAACCAACACCAGGCCACACGAGGTCCCAGTGTGAGGCCCGTGTTAAGAAATGAGGCCACTAGGATGCAGAGAATCAGAACAACCCTCCGAAGCCCACAGCCCAGGGACCCGGGGTCCAAGATGAGCGGCCCCCCCAAGTCGAACCCCCACCCAAGCAGACCCACTAACCACATCCGCAGGAGCACAGAGATAACAAGAAGCCACCAGCTGCCCTGCTGCTCTCATCACTGCCCTGTTTATCAGCCAGCCCCAGGCCCATCAACCAGGGGACTCTAAAATTTTCCACCCTCTTGACCAGCGCCCCTCTCCTCTGCCTAAGCTGTGCCGTATCAACCACGAGCACCCTCCTCTCAGTGCCAACGGCCTTCTCACCCTTGGCCCATCTGCACCCAGAGGGCAATAAACTCATCACATGTTGCTTAGACTTTGCCTCCCTCGGTGGTCTCAGTTGTGCCTCAATCTGACCTTACACAAGCCACCTTCTAAGCCACCTTCTCTAGGCTCGAAACCCATTTTGTCCCCAGATGCTGCAGCCAGGCCTGGTGCTCCGGTGTCTATCTACACAGCTACTCCCTGGCTGGTCAGCTGATGCGACCTAGTTTGAGCTCCTAATAGAATGAAGCAGGGGCGCCCCTGATAGTCTGAGCTGGGAGACTGAGTCCCTTGTGCTGTAGGCAGGCGGACTAAGGCCCAGAGATGGAGTGTACAAGCCTCAGGTCTCCTGGGAAAGTTCTCTTCATCCTTTTTTTTTCCTTTGGCAGTTGAGGATCTAAATTTTCTGTGGATAAGCCACAAAGAGGAGAGGCACCAACGCAGTTTTACTAATTCAACATTTTTGAGCCTACTCACTGGCAGCCACTTTTCCAGGCACTGGGAATACGTAGCACACAAAATAGACAGAGATCTGCCTTCACAGAGCCTTTTTTTCTGCTGGAAATAAATAAGCAATAAATAAGTGAATTATAAAGTATTTATGTTAGCTGTATAGAAGAATTAAAAAATAGACCTGGATAAGGGCCACTAGAAGTGCAGGTGAGGGACTGATTGCAGTTTTAAATAGGGTGGTCAGAGATGGTGACAGCTAACCAAAGACTTGAGGGTGGTGACGATGTGACTATTTGGAGGATAAAGGTCCAGGTCAACAGGAGAGTCAAGTGCAACAAGTGCAAAGGCCCTGGGGCAGGCCATGCCTGGTACAATTAAGGAAGAGCAAGGAGACCAGTGTGGCCAAAATGTGGGGGAAGGGAGATCATAGGGCCTTTCAGTCATGGGAAGGATTTTGGCTTCCACTTCAGAACCCATGGGGAGCCACAGGGCCCTATTGAGCAGAAGACCATGTTCAGACTTGTTAGGGCACCATCACCCCTGCTGCCTTGTTTTTTGTTTTTTGTGGGGTTTTTTTGGTACCAGGGATTGAACTCGGGTCCTTAGCTTTCAAGGCAGGCGGTGGAACCACTGAGCTAAATCCCCAGCCCACCCCTGCTGCCTTGTGAGAAGAGACTGCAGGGGTGAGGGTGGAGGGCTCAGGCCAGTGCGGAGGCTGTTGCGGTTGGGCAGGGGAGAAGTGACAGGGCTCAGGCCAGGGTGGTGGCAGTAGAGGGCCAAAAAGCAGTCAGATGCTGGACATTTTGCCACAGTTACTGCAGGATCTGCAGGTGGACAGGATGTGGTGTGTAAGGGAAAGAGGTCTGAGCACCCATAGGGTGGAGCAGGGAGGCTGTGGGAATGCCTGCCAGGGCTTTGGTCACAGCTATTATAGTACTAGTGGGTGTGCACATGCCTGGTAGGCCAGATGGCATGGGACTCTGGAGTTTGAGAGCTGGGTCCAGGCTGGAAACGATGCATCTGGGAGACACAGACCTCTCCAGTGCCCCTAAGGGATGCATGTGGGTGAAGAAGACAGATGGCCAAGGCCTGAACCCTGAGCCCCTCCAGGGACCTACAGCATGGGGCCAGCTGGAAGAGGAGCTAAAGAGAAGTCAGCGTTGTTTATTACTATTTCTCACCAGGCACGGAAAATGCAGGTTTGTCACACACGCACATGGAAAGGAGCTTCATTTTGGAAGCAGAGACCCTGTGTGGATGCACACTTGATCACACTCAGTGATGGACGAAAGGCAGGTACACCTTGGGCTGGTATGGTTCCATGTACACCCAGGTCAGCACCATGCCAGGCTGGCTGCTCCCATACAGTTGCACGTAGAGGCTGTGTGAAAGTATTAGTAATGTGAGCCCCACTGCGAGGCAGGCACTGGGCTCATGTCTGTGACAATGTGCAGGGCTCTGCAGGTGCCTCTTTGCCCACGTGAGTCTCTCATAGGACATTTTGCTCTTTAGCTTGTGTTTGATGTCTGTCCCCAAACTAACCATGATGGGAGGACCCTTGCCTGTCCCCTTGAGCCCCACGGCCCAGACTTACTAAACTCATGATTGTCTGTGTCCCCTGCACCCAGCCCAGCACTTAACCCATGGGTGGGAACCCTGAGGACTGCCTCCTGGAAAGGCCAGCATGGCTGCTGTTTTTGCAGATGGTGTTAACTCTTCCAGAGCCAGAGGAGACCTTTGGAGTGGGGAAGCAACTCTGCTGCACCCAGGCTGGAACCCAGGAGGAAAGGGCCTCTCTTCCTGTGGAAAAGTCACCTCACTAGCCCAGCACCTGGGGAAAACCAGGATGTCTTAGACTTACCGATCCCTCTGGACATTTGGGGATCAAGAGTATGAGGCATCTGAGCTGCTGTCCAGTGATGGCCAGGCCGCCTGCTCCAGGCGATAATGATGACATCACTGTGGGACAGGAATCAGGCCAGGAAACTCTGCATGGAGTTGTATTTGGAGTAGGCGACCTGGCCATTCTCTCAGTGCTTTTCCTATGTAGGAAAAAGTTTCATCAGCCAAGTTGTTCATTTGATGAATATTCATTAAATGCTTCAGAAATGCCAGGTTCTGTCTTGGAGGCGAACTTGAGTTTTAATAGGTTCACAAGCATCCAGGGCACTAACAGAGATCCCCTGGTCTATTAGCACCTGCTCTGTGTCCCACTGTCTCCAGGTCCTTGAGCTGTTGTTTCTAATTCTCACGGTAGCCCAGCAGCCAGCAGTTACAATTTCACTGCTACAGAGAAGCACAGTGCTGGGTCACATGGCTTCCAAGCACATTTTTTTTTGGTACCAGAGATCGAACTCGGGTCCTTGCGCTTGCGCAGCAGGTGGCGAAACCACTGAGCTAAATCCCCGGGCCCTCCAAGTGTGTTTTAAACCCAGCTCTGTCCAACATGCTCTGTCCTCATGAAGCCTGGACCTGAGCCAAACCCTTTACACATATCATCTCCAATCACAGTAACCTCAATACCTGGATTATACTCACCCATTTTCCAGATGAGGAAACTGAGTCTGGGATGGCTGGAAGTCAACCGAGACCAAGCAGAAGGAAATGGCAATGCTTGGATCTAACTTTTCTTGGCCTGACTGAGCCTCCTATTCTCTCGGCCTTGAGGACCCCTGGCTGACAAACTTTAGTGTCCCTTCCAACACAAAGACCCCCAACCTCTCAGTCTCTTCAACTCCATCACTCCAAGCAGAAAACCGGGAGCACTAGATCCTCACAACTGTCTGGAAGTGGATAATCAGCCTCCTCCAACAGCTTGGTCCAGGTGCTCCTGCTCCTGTCTCTGCTCTCCTTTGCAGAATCCTTCTAGGCTCTCAAAAAATTTATAGGTCCATAAATCCCCAACTGTGACTGTAACATATGCTGGGTCCTTTCCTGCAATACTGCTTTTCTGTCTTCCACTAAGGTGAACCATATAACAAGCTGATGAATGTTAGTCATTGTCCATGAGCAGTGCATCAGGGGCAGAGGTGGGAGATGGCATACAGCTGTGTCACACCA